TTCAGTAAGATTGACATCTGACCTCTTTTGGTCGAAAGTCAGCCTTTAGGTGCTATTCTTTCTAACTGAATTTTTGCATGGGGGCCCCCAAAAACTAACCAGCGGCTATTGTTGCTAGGGTCGAGCATTCCTCAGTGAATCTAAGGAAATGTGAATCGCGGTCGAATTGCTCTACGTTGAACCTACCTGAAAGAGAGTTTATATGATTAGTTTATGCTTATTTCTGTATGTCTGTGCGCACTGGCCCCAGGCAGAGCAGGCATACATAAACATTGTATTGCGCTGTTGCCAGTTTAGCACCTTTTAGTATGCGATTCCAAATCCGGTTAGGGGTCGTTCAAGTAACATTGTTTTTTTAAACTCGAATATATAACTAGAAAATTAATGGCTCTCAAGTTGGCTACCTACCTTTTTTCGTTTTATGTTTTACGGTGAATCCCATTTTACGGGAAATTCCTCGACTGTATTGTATGTAATTCTTATTTTGTTTAAGTTCTCAGTATTCGTCATTGTTTTGAATGCGTAATACGGAGAAATATATTGGAGTCAGTGTTAAAGTGAGTTCATACTGTCATAGCCGTCCTGCCAAGGCTCTACGGTCTTCCGAAGATAAACAAAAAAAAGTTCCTTTGAGACTCATAGTAAGTGCACCGGGTTTGCCAACGTATTACTTGTCAAAAACCTAGCATCGCTCCTTCAATCTCATGTGGGACAAACAACTTCGTACGTCAAGGATTCGACAGACATTATGAGAAAAATTGAGAATATAACCTTGAAGCCAAGTGATATTCTGGTCAGTTTCGACGTTGTGTCCTTGTTTACCAATCTGCCGCTGAAAGATTTTTTGAGAGATAGCCAACCTGTTTCCTAGTGATATTGTCGGACTCTTCAAGGTCTGCCTCACGGAAAGTTACTTCCAATGGAAAGAATTTTTTTATGAGCAATTAGACGGCGTAGCGATGGGAAGTCCTCTCAGACCGGTGATAGCCAACTTTTTCATGGAGCAATTTGAGAAGAACGCAATCGACGCTTTCGATTTCAAACCAACCATTTGGCTACGATACGTGTATGATACCTTCGTCATCTGGAGACATGGAAGGGACAGACTGAACCTATTTTTAGACTACATAAATGCTCAACACCCTAGCATCAAGATCACCATGGGTACTGAACAGAAACGACGGATGGCTTTTCTATATGTACTCGTCGAAAGGCGTGGCACACGACTGACACATAACGTGTACCGAAAACCTACACATACGGAAAGATATCTGCATGTTCTTTCGAACCACCATCCAAGTCGAAAGCGGGGAATTATCAACACCCTGACGGAACTTGCCCATAGAATATGTGAACCGGAACACCTACAAGAAGAATTGGAGCATCTTCAAGTGGCTTTAAGATCGAATGGATACAGTGTAACCAAGATCAACAAGGCAATGAAACTGAAGATTTCCACAAGTCAAAATAGGAAGGAAACTCAAACGGTTGCGTGTGCATTTCTACCGTACATCCCTAGGGTGACAGATAGAATCAGAAAAACGTTCGGGAAGCATAAAATAAAAACAGTGTTAAAGTCTACCAGGAAAATACAACGAAGCCTTAGATCTGCGAAAGACAAAAGAGATCCACTATCAACTGCGGGGGTATAACGTATACCATGCACCTGCGGGAAAGTTTATATCGGTACCACCAAGAGATCCTGAACGAACATCGGAGAAACTGTAGATCACACGATACTGTTTGAAGATGTGAAACTACTTGCCTACGATCATGGATACCACAGTCGGCTTGTACGGGAGGCCATGAAAATCCATAAACATACGGAAAACTACAATAGAAAAGAGGAAGCAGTAACGCTTAATTCATACTAAAAGATGGTAAAGTGGCAACAGCGCAATGCAATGTACGTCATTAACAGGTAATAACACTTCGGCCAATAGCAACGCATCAACACGAGATGCAGACTACCTGAGTCAACATAAATACAACCTACGAACTAGAAACCACCAGTCATCGGCGAATCATCAGGATGAATAAACCTCTGAAGAAGCCAGCCACGCGTGCTGGCGAAACGTTAGGATGCAGTCCCAAACTACGACAGCCTTTAAATCCGAATGAAGATAGTAACACTGAAAATCTCGGCCGCGAAAGCCTTCAACAATTTTTCAATAGCAACACTCTTTTTTGTCAGACATAATTTTATTTTCTATTTTCGTAACCTGCTGTAATTCAACATCTAAAATATAAGAAACCTGATGTATTACAGAAGACTTGACAATTGACACTCCAGAAATATATTTGAAGATTTAAAACGACATTTTAGTCACACTCAACTTTTCACAACCCAAAAAAAAACTGACATACACAACTATTAGGATTTTTCTTTTTTAAAACTTATTCAGTATTTTAATGAAATTAATAAAAATTTTGTCTAATTACCGCTAGTTAATTAGTGATAATTAGACAAACGTGTTTTTATTCATTTCATTAAAGTGATCATGAATTACCATAAAATAAACAAGTCATCAATCACACATATTACTTATTACATCAGTAAACATTTTTGAAAAGGTATTGATATCATCGACTTTTCATTTATTTGCATTCCCCGTTTTCATTACAGAACTGAAAAAGATAACTTTTACGAATCCAGAAATTGATAATTCTATATTCACAGGAAACATATATTTGCATATGAAAGTATGATTTGATTCTGCTTCCAAGAACTTATCTTTATGTTTGAANATCAACTGATGATTTAGGTCATTGTTCAATATTCCTAGTTCATTCAAGTTTGATGCCATATTTTGTATAGCATCAATTCATTTATAAAAAAAAATCAATAAATGAAAAAACTTATTAGAGTGGTTGTTATTCTTTCAGAAGAATTGATCAACTCAAGCCAATAAATCAAATTTTAGTCAAGAAGGAACTTTATTGACGTTTTTTACTATTTTTCAATCTTCAACTGACAAATCTTGTTTCCAAATCAAATGAACACAAAATAAACATACAGAATGAGTAAATATCCAGTGATTTTTAAAAAGTTCTATTCTTAAAGTTTGTAATGCAGGATGAGTGCCAGTTTTTTGATGACTTGGACAGTAATATTAGAACAAAATAAAAATTATGATATATATCTACATTGAAAAAATGTTTCGTCAATTTTTGATCAAAAAAATGTGTGAGTAGTTTCAAAAAAGGATAAGACTTGATGAATGTTTTGGTTGAAATATATATTTTACCTCGTGAATAATTGGATTTCACATCCAGTGTAACTTTCTCATCTCCTACATCTTTGCTTTTATATTCATTCTCTTCATGAATTTTCAAGTCATCCTTAATAACTTCTTGAACATTCGAATCATCCTTGACATCTTTTTCATGAATATTCAAGTCATCCTCGATAACCTCTTCATAAATATTAAAATATTTTTCATCCAAATTCTCAACTAATATTGGTTTACATTGATTTGTTGATGGATCCATGGAAAATAGTTTTTCATCTTTATGAATAGTTTTCTGGTGTTTTTTGAAACCATTCATGGAAAAAAAAAGTTTGGTGCATATCTCGCAAAAATATAATTTTTTTTCTAAGTGAATCTTCAAATGTTTTTTGAAAGATTTCGATAGATGGAAAGTTTTGGGGCAATATTGGCAAGAAAATCGTTTTTCTGTATGAATCCTTTCATGATCTCTCAAATAAAACTTATCAGCAAATGCTTTTGAGCAGATTTTACAAACAAATGGTTTTTCTCCTGAATGAACCTGTTGATGAGTTTTCAAATGTGATAGTTGTTTGAAAGAGTGAGGGCAGATTTTACAAACAAAGGGTCTTTCTCCTGTATGAACCCTTTCATGACCAACCAACTGATTGTTGTTACGGAATGATTTGAAACAAATTTTGCAGTGAAATTGTTTTGTTTGCGAATGAATCTTTCCATGCTTTTGCAATAAAGCTTTACTTTTATAATTTTTCGAACATATTCTGCAATGGAACTGTTTTTCCCTTTCGTCAGTCTTCCCAGGTTGCACACAATTATTATCAGCAACCAAATTTTCACTACATTCTTTGTTTAAATAGTTGGTATCATTAGAAATGTTGGTAGACGTAACTACTGCTTCTATTTCTTTGGATAGTGTTGCAATATCTACTTCTGCCACCTGCTGCAATTCAATATCTGAAAAAGGTAAGAACAACAATATAATAAAATAGTTTTGACAGAAATATTTCATAACTGGAATATTCTATTTCTATTTTCTGTAGCTTTAATCAATATTTGACAAACACTCGGGACACTCAAGAGACTCTGATTGGTGGTTTCAAAGAGGTATTCGTATCATTATTAGCACAAGCAGATTTTACAAACAAAAGGTTTTATTCCTGTATGCACCCTCTCACGAACTACCAAACTTTCATTGGTACGGCACGATTTAGAACAGATTCTGCAGAGAAAATTAATTTATCGATTTGAACTGTTTTTCTCTCTTGTCAACCTGCTGATCTTGCACACAATTATATTCCCTAAGTTCTTCTTTTGAATGGTTGATATCAATAGAAACATTGTTGTTTTTGTCAGCTATAATTTCATTTTCTATTTTCGTAACCTGCCGCAATTCAGCACTTGAAAATGTAAGAAAGCCGATATATNCACTTTTATATTCTCTTCATGAATTTTCAGGTCATCCTTGATAACTTCTTGAACATTCGAATCATCCTTGACATCTTTTTCATGAATATTCAAGTCATCCTCGATAACCACTTCATGAATACTAGAATATTTTTCATCCGAATTCTCAATTGATATTGGTTTATATTGATTTGTTGACAGATCCGTGGAAAATAGTTTTTTACTTCTATGAAAATGTTTCTGGTGAGATTTTAAACTTTCCTTTGAAAAAAAAGATTTGTTGCATATTTCGCAACAATATGAATGTTTTCCTTTTTGTAAGTGAGTCTTCACATGTACTTTGAAAGTTTTCCATAGATGGAAAATTTTGGAGCAAAATTGGCAAGAAAATCGTTTTTCTGTATGAATCCTTTCATGATCTTTCAAATAACTCTTATCAGCAAATGATTTTGAGCAGAATTTACAAACAAATGGTTTTTCTGCTGAATGAATCCATTTGTGTCTTCTCAGATTTCTCATCAGTTTGAAAGAGTGAGAGCAGATTTTACAAACAAAAGGTCTTTCCTCTGTATGAACCCTCTTGTGAATTACCAACTGACTGTTGGTACGGAATGATTTGGAACAAATTTTGCAGTGAAATGGTTTTATTTCTGAATGAATCTTTTCATGCTTTTGCACTAATTCTTTACTTTTGAAATTTTTCGAACATTTTCTACAACGAAACTGTTTTATCACTTCGTCAGTTTTTTCAAGTTGTATACAATTATTTTCAGCCACCAAATTTTCACTTCTTTCTTTTTTTAAATAGTTGGCATCATTAGAAATGTTGGTAGTTGTAACTACTGCTTCTATTTCTTTGGGTACTGTTGCAATATCTACTTCTACCACCTGCTGCAATTCAATACCTGAAAAAGGTAAGAAAACCAATATAATAAATTATTTTTACTATGTTCTTCTTTGGAATGGTTGATATCAATAGAAGCAATGTCTTTGTCTCAGATATAATTTTATTTTCGTAACCTACTGCAATTCAGCACCTGAAACTATAAAAAGTAGGCTTGACAATTGGCGCTCCAGAAATATATTTCAAGATTTAAAACGACATTCAAGTCACACTCAACTTTTCACAGCCCTAAAAAGAATTGACATACACAAATATTTGGATTTTTCTTTTTTTTTAATTATTCAGTAATCTTTTACAACAAAATGAGATTCAGACTTTCCCATTTTAAATGTATTCAAAAACTTCAATATTTTGCTTTCAGTAGAATGTTAATAAGAAAATCAATAAAATTTGAAGAATTTTTTAGGTAACTTGAACATTATTGAAAAAGCATTGATATGTCATCGAGTGCTTCTTTCTTCTAGATCTTTCCCAAGGTATATGTTTCACAATTTGCATTTGAAAGTAGTGTTACGGTTTTTGCTTGAAAAAATTATTCATTTGCATATTATTATTGAGTATTATTAGGGATCAAAAATTTATTTAGATAGTAGAAGATACACAGATACACTAACGAGAAGTAACAAAAATTTTTTGAATCCACATACATCAGTAACAAAATCATTTTCTGTGGAGGAATATTTCTCAATGAAGAGGCTCGCAATTGCTCATCAAAACTCATTTTTATCTTCATCTTCCTCTTTGAAGATGATCACTTGGTGATCGAAACACGTGTCGAGGTGTTAAAAATAACGATTTGGTGTTGGGAAAAAACTCCTGTAATATAGAAAGTCGTTATTTCATGAAATTCAAGATATTTTTGAACAAATTTATTCTTCTTATTTTATGTAATTTATGCTTTTTTTTGTACTTTTTCGTATATTTTCGGAAAATCATATTTTCATGTTTTGACTAATCATGGTATTATATAAAATGCCTAATATTGTTGTAAAGTATCCCCTGAAAAAAAAAAACGTCGACCGCCGCTGATCTTCGTCAGTCGATTGTAACTCGGGCAAGGTCTTGCTCAAGTCACTTCGAGAATATTCCTTTCGGCTTCCGAAGACTTCCATTGGGATATATAGGCAATACCAACAGGCAGATAGATGGGCTAGTCTACTTGAAAGGGTGGTACGAAGTGATCTCATAGGGCGATATACATTTGATTATTATTAGTCTAAAATTCAGTTGAAGTTTTTATGTTATATTGGCAGCATAGTAATGAATTGAAGTTTAGTCTAACTGTACAGTGTAGACAATTATTGTCGAATCCTCAGGGATTCTGACATTTGGTGTCAGAAGTGGGATAATTGACCGAAAATTTTCTGTTTTATGGTGGAAACAAGGAGTTTCGATCACGATGGGATGGATGAGTTTAAGAAAATGTTCGAGGCTTTACAAACGGGCCTGATGGGGAATGAAAAAGAGTAAGATGATTGCCTTAGAGAGGAAGACGAACGAGGTAGGGAGGAATAACAATTATGACAAATAAATTACTATTAAATAATCAGGAAAAGTAAGAAAAAGACAAAAGACTTGCTGGTGAATGTTCAGAAGAAACAAGAGACAATCAAATGTATCTTAATTTACTTGGAGAATTATAATATTTTCGAGTGAGTAAAGGGGAGGTGAAGGAATTCATTTGGAAAAATTTGAAGGAATAAAGGATGAATTTGAGAAAGTAATCGAAGAGAAACTTGGGGGAAGGGGCAGAAAACTCAAAGAAGTTTTCCAAGAACTTCAGAAAGTATTACCGGAGGCGAAGAGGATCGCTGTGGAAACACCTCTCTCTTCTAGTAGTATTTTTATTAAAACATCCAACCTTCGATGGCGAATCTACATGGTCAATTTATCGCAAACAATTTGAGTCCGCTGCAGAAAATGATGAGTGGAAAAATGGGGGAGAAAGCAACAGTCCTAGAAGCAAAGGCCTCCGAAATTCTGCAAAATATTCCAGTGAATAAACAATGAATGAATGAAGCAACTGTATCAGCTCTGGAGGCCAGGTATGGTAGCGAGCACCTTCAACAATTCTACCAGGAGGAAGGAGTAATAAAAGACTCAAGCAGCCCCTGGTCGTCACCTGTGGTGTTGGTGGCTAATAAAAAGGGATCGACGAGATTCTAGGTAGACTACAGGAGGCTTCATGATGTCACAAGTAAACCTCTTCCCAGAATAGATGACACCCTGAACATCTTGGCTGAATGCAGATGGTTCTCAACATCAGATCCAAAAATTGTTATTTTTCAGCTATTTTTAATTTTTTACAGATTCTTTCAGGGAGTTCAAATCAATTTATATCATATTAGACAATGGAAGTCAGAATTAATGAAATGCACAAATTTTATTTTATTATCAATGAAGCAGACTAAATATGATACCTGGAATAAATCTGTAAATTGTTTTCATGTTTATGGTCAAAGTACCAAAAGCGATAGATTGAATTTAGCTCTTTTAAATGAGAATTCAAAAACGAAACAAAGTTGGTTTAAATATGTTACCTCTAATAGTGACAGGAGAAGGTTTTATATCTAGTGTAATATCCTCGTCTCTTGCATCTCTGCTAGTGAAGTCGACTTTTATATTTTCTTCATGAATATCAAAGTCATCTTCAACATTCAAGTCATTCTTGACATCTACAAAATTATATTCATCCTCATCTGAAGTTTTGTTCAGTACAGCTTCAAAATGATTTGTTGACAAATCCTTGAAAAACTGGTTTTCTTGTGTATGAATATTATTCTCACATGTTTTTAGTTTCTTCCCAGTATTGAAAGTATCTGAATACATTTTAGAATTAAATGGTATTCCTTCTGAAATTTCGCTAAATGCCATTTCTTCTGTATGTACCTTTTTGTTTTTGTCCTCGGATACAGTTTCGTCTATTTCAGTAATCTGCTGTGAATTAAAGCCTGAAATGGCAAGAACTCTTTATCAAACTCTCCCAAAAAATGAATATTTCAAAAACTTAGTTTCAAATAGAAGAAATTAAACACATTCATCTTTATACCTTCAGAGATTGAGAAATCTCGAATTTATAGTTTGTAAATCACTCAAAGTTTTTAGTATCGACACGAGCCTTTTTTTGAGCGATTGACAAATTTTGTGGGATCCAACACGAACAAATTTTTTTGACAGTCAAATGTTTATGCAATATTGAACATATGCTGGTCCCACTAATGCCTAAAGTTGTCTCAATCTCACGATAGGTCACATGACAATCTTGCAATATCAATTCGCGCACAGCATCAATGGACGAAATTCGTCTTGGAGTGAACTACGACCACAACTGAATTCACCATACCATCGATAAACACTGGTCCTTGATGGAGCTTCATCGACAAAAATTGAATTAAGTTCATCCATGCACTGTTGCTGAGTTTAATCCACATCGAAAGTTGTAAAAAATAATCGAACGAAAATGTTCGCGATTTAATTCCATTTTTGGGCTGAGACGATTTTTTTAAGTTACTCTAAACAAAACAAACAGCGCGCGTATGTCAAAACGTTCTGAGTACGTATAAGCTCAAAAATGTCCAACTTTACAATAGAGCTGTCAGTTGCCAGATTGCAACACTAGGGTTGCCAAATCCTGAAACATAAAAGGCAACCCTCATACTAACAAAACGATTTAATTATCAACATTGTATACATAAACCGGCAGATCAGAAGGTATATACATTTTGAAGCAACAAATAACTTTTTAAAATAATTCGAAATATTTGTTTGTTAAATTTTCTCAAATTATTTTGCATATCATCGTAAAATTCAATACCATTTTCATTTTGATATTTAGAATCTGGAACCTCTGGCAAAATAAAAAAAAAATTGGCAAGAAGTGGACATGAAATCAACAAAACATGGTGATAGTGTTACAGAAAATAGCATGCTGACGGAATACAGGATTTTGCAAAAGAAGTGTAGTTAATTTTATCATGTTAGTGCAAATCTGACCATTATCACTAAAATAAAAAGTAATAATGATTGAGATATTTCAAAATACTGAAAATTAATTTCATATAGGTTGATAGGTACAATTAGAACCTCTCACTTGAATGAATCTATTGAAAGCCAAGCTACAATCATCTGATGACTTAAACTCTCTGTCATTTCCTGATGATGTAAACTTGGTTAGCAAAAAGCATGCCAAGAGAGTATTTTTGTTCTGGTGTGGTGAAAATGTTTTCAATAGAATGACATTGGTGACAACACAATGAAATTCATTCTGTTATTAATCTTGACAGAAGTTGATTATAATCTAGGAGCCCCAATCAAGAAGTTGAAGCATTACCCTTATAGGAGTAAATCCGTTTCATTATAGTGGAATCCCAAATGAAAATACTTGGATTATTTATTAAATAAATTAAAGGACTACCTGGAATAAGCTCAAGATGTGGATTTATTACATCTTGTATAAGATTCTCATCTCCTGAGTCTCTGTCAAAGAATTCAACTTTTATATCGTCTTTACAAATAGTCAAGTCATCTTTGACATCATTTCCATTAGTATTCAGCTCATTCTCAATATTTTCTTTGTGGAAATCAGAATCATTCTCAATTGAACTCACGATCATTACCGTTTCACTGTTATTTGTTGACAGATCCTTGGAACGAAAATTTTTTTCCTTTGATTGCAGATCTTGTACATAGTTATTTCGATTTGCATCAAGATTTTTACTGCATTCTCCTTTTAAATGATTGATATCATCACAATTATTGGTAGATGTAATTTTTTGGGTTTTTTGCTCATGTAATATTTCATCTATTTGCTGTATTTCAAAATCTGTAAAAAATGAGAATTCCATTACTACAAACATTTACAAAATATTTTTCAACACTCGAAAGTCTGGGTTGTCTCCATTAAAACTGGAATATACTATAAATATACTACCTGCAAGAGGTTTTACATCGGGGGTAATATTTTCATCTGCTTCATTTTTGATAGTGGAGTTGATTTTCTTGTGCTCTTCATAAATATTTGACTCATCCCTGACATCTTCATCAATATTCGAATCATGAATATTGGAATAATCCTTACTGAAACTTTCAATTAGTACCGTTTCAAAGTGATTAATAGAGGTTGACAAATCTCTGGAAAATAATTCGTTTTGTGTACAAGTAGTTTTCTGGTGAGCTTTTAAGTCTTTCTCAGTTCTGAAAGAATCTGAATAGATTTTACACCATAATGGCATTTCTTCCGAACTTTCTATTAACGGATTTTCTTGCGTACGCACATTGATCTGGTTTGGTGCAAAGTTTTTACTGCATTCTCCTGTCAAATGCTTTCTTCCATTAAAAATATCAATAGTAGCGATTTCCATCTCTTTATCCTTGGATATTATTTCGTCTTCGTAACCTGGAAAAGAAAATTGGTTTGCTTCAATAAACTGGCCTTGATTCCCCAAAAATTGTTAAAAAGTCATATGAATTAAATGAATAATTATTTTACCTGGGATAAGCTTGAAAGGTTTTATATCCAGTCCAATATCGACTTCTTGTTTAGTTTGCAAATCTTGTACACCATTAGTTTTATCATAAGTATCACCGGTATTTGTAATTTCTTGGTAGGTTTCCCAAGTAATTGTTTCATTTTCTATTTCCGTAATCAGCTGTGAATCACCTGGAAAAATAAAAACCCTGCTATTTATAAACTGTTTTTTTTTTCAACTTTGGTGCCATTCTAAATTTTTCTCAACCTTATACAGGTTGTGACATACTTTTTTTTTACAACCCATTCAATACTTGTCATTAGTAAAATCATCAAACATGATGACAAAACAAGTCAGTAAGAAGTGTAAATTGAAAAAAATATAATAAAATCTACTGAATTGAAAGTAAGTTCCTGTAGATCCTTGTTAGGCATAGAGCATGTATTGAAAAAGCAAGAAATTGTTCAAAAACTTGCTGCTTACAAACTCCTTAAACTTAATTCACTCTGCAACCGTAATTTGTGGAATCCATTAAATTCATTTAACCATTCAGAGTATCGTCTTGAAGGTAGAAACATTTATTATTTAATTGAGACATAGCTGAATCAAGGCCATACTGTCTCAAAGGTATGGCAAGATTTAGAAATAAAAAGTTGTCAACAACCTTTTATTGAAGGCCTCTCAACAGATTTGAAAGCGCCAGCTGGCAAAGGACGGAGGCTCGTAATAACTTATATAGTCCAAGAAAACTAGCGACTACCACAAGGAAATGGACGCACAAAAGTTCGTATTCAAAAATTTTTACCAAACCTTGAGCCAAACTCTGCCTGGCGAAAAGCTGTTATCATTAACTGGCAGTCGTAAACAATGCGTTGATCTTGGTGAAAATATAACTTTGGATCTTTTGCCAATCGAATCTTGGGTACCACATGACTCTTTTTGGGACCTCTGTTGTTCATCATTTATATAAATGACTTCTTCTTCCACTTATTACCATATAAATGCGTAATCTATGCCGATGATACAACTCTTCTGTGTACTAACCAAAACTGTGAGAACTTGCTCGCCACAATGAAAACTGTGGTATATCAGGGTGAGAAATGGTTCAATGCTAACCTTTTGAAACTGAAAAAAGATAAAACTCAAACTATCACATTCTCTACAAATAAAATGAAAATGAAGAGATCACTTCACCTGTAACTGTGGCAAACACCTTTAATAATTTTTTCATTGATGCACCACAGAAAGTTATACATAATATACCAGATGTAGGAGGAAATGTTGCCCCTACTCAGAGAAATCAAATCAAATAAAAAAATCATATGATGCTATAAAGACATTATACTCATCACTGGTTCGGAGTATTTTGGAATATAATAGTGTAATTTGGTGTCCTCTTTATTCTTGTCATAAAGAGAGACTTGAAAAAGTGCAAAATCTCTTCTCTAAATATATAATTTGGAAACTTGGCCTACCCTACTTTGGATTTACCTCGCAAATGAGGCTGTCTGTATTAGATTTATTATCACTTGAGGACAGACGTAAACTTGCAATAGTTCTATTCCTTCATAAAATAATAAACTTCCACTATAATTGTTCAGCTATTTTAGATGACCTTTGCCTTTCTGTTAACTCAAGATCCTTAAGAAGCAATCGCATTTTTTCATTTGGGTTGCGATTCCACAAGACTAACTATGGCAATAAGTTATAGGCTTCAAAAAAATTTCAATACATACTTTTCAGAACTTGATCTTTTTCATTTGTCATATTTAAAATAAAAAAAAATGGCAATTAGACGACTTCATCAAGAGATTGTTCATTAAACTTCTGAATAGTCGTTCATTATTTCTTTTAATAATCATAACTTATTCTAGTATTCGCACGTGTTTTTTTTTTATTTGAACTTAATGTACTACTTGACAAATGAAACTGCATACCTTTATTTAATATGAAGTAATAACTTGACTCTAGGGTTTGTTTGCACATTGATGTAACATTTGGGACTTTGTTACAATTCTGTAATGTACTTGACATAGTAACGTTTTTGTTTTTTAATTTAATTATTCATTAGTGTTGAATGTCTTAAAGCTTATTTTTGTCTTTTTAAATTTTTTTCTTTTTTTATGTTCCAGTTGGTATTTTATTGATAGTTTGTGGTGTATGTGTCTGATAAAAAATAAATAGGTTTATTTATTTTAAAGTAATTACAATAGTTTATATTAAGGATTGTACTTGTTGGGTTCATAACTGAACTCTAATACTTGATTGGTTTCAACAATTATATAGATAAACTACCTGGAATAAGCTCAAGAGGAGGTTTAACATCTAATGTAATATCTTCATCTTTAACATCATCACTAGTGAACTCGATTTTTATACTTTCTTGATAAATATTGAACTCATTCTTCATATCTTCTTGACTATTCAAGTCATCCTTGACATTTTTTTCCTGAGTATTCAAGCCAGCCTTGATATTTTCTTCAATAATATTACAATTATCCCCATCCGAACTTTCAATTTGTGTTACTTTACATGAACTTGTAGACAAATCCTTGGAAAATGATTGTTCTTGTGTATGAAATTCCATCTGTTGGAATTGGCTGTCTTTCAAATGAACTGTTTCATGACTTTTTTCATCTGAATGAACTTTCTCATGACATCTCAACCTTTTCAACAGATAGAAAGATCTGAAGCAAACTTTACAAACAAAATTCTTTTCACCTGTATGAATCATATTGTGTTCAATGAAATGACTCTTGTAAGCGAATGATTTAGAACAGATTCCACAGTTGTATGGCTTTTTCCGAGTATGAATAATATAATGTCTATTCAAAGAATCTTGACTTTTGTACCATTTTGGGCACATGCTACACTGGAACGGTTTTTCTCTTGAGTCAGACTGTAGGTGGTTTACATGATTATGTTCGTCAACACAATTATTACTACATTCTTTTTTGGTTGGTATAGTCCGTGGTAATTCATAACCTGGAAAAGTTAAGAACTTTATTCAATAAATTGAATTCAACTCTTAAAAAATATTTATCATAGTCCTAAACAGGCGCTGACACGCTGACATTTATTACTTATTTTAGGGATCGACAGATATACTCATATATAGGCCTATTGACCGTTTATTTCTAGGAACAACTACCTATTTTTCATTCATTGAAACTCACTTGTGAAATAGTGTCTCTTTCTAGGGATTTTATAGTATGAACAATTGCTATAGTCAGTATTTGTCACAAACACAAATTTTTAGATTCCACATTCCACTGGTGCGGTTTAGTTCAGAAGGTTATTACACTTTTGAAACTTTTTGAGGAAACAAGAAAACCCTCAAGTAACATGGAGTGTTGTATTTCAGAGATAATCCCTCTAATCAAAACATTGAATTCGTATTCAGGCAACTATTCAAAAAGCGACATTTTCTAGTGTAGGCACATTGAAAAACGATTCAATAATTTTTATTGACGACAATACTTCCACAAATATGAATTTCCTGTTTAAAGAGTCATACTTACAACAAAATCAACAGAAACTGAACATACAGAAACGAAACAAAATTATATTTTAAATCATTAGTGATAAATTCCCAAAGAAATATATAACGATACCATTTTTCAGTGATGTTAAATTGTGAGTGGCAAGTTTGTACATGTTGGTGCCATTCAGTTGTTTATTAAGTAAGAAATTTAATATCAAGACAGTTCTTATTACAAACGACTTAACATTAAAATACAGATCAAAAATAAGATTTCAAAACGCTTAAAGGTGCAAACTTGATGCCTCCTTTTCATAAAAAAGGATGTATGCATCTCCACTCACAGGTGATTTTGGTGAAATCATTGTATTCGTTCCATGTGCCAGTGTAGGGATTTCTGCAGTAGGCTGTATAATGTCCACTGTAAGTAGACCCAGTGATTCAAAAGTGGATATAGATCATAACGACAATTAAGAAATTTGAAATTCAGGCCGCAAGACATGTGGCCAATTCTATTTGTTTACACAGTGATTTTTATGAAATATTCATCTTGGATCGCTGCATGGTACTGACGATGCCCAATAGGCTGAACCATCTGTCTACTGGTGTCTCTAAATTGAAATGAAATTATGAATGATCAGAATAGTTCTCAGTAATCATTTTCATATCATTACCAAAAATTCAGAATCTCATTTTCCAATTAGTAAATGTTTTCAAAAACAATGACACTATAATATGCAAAAAAATATTTTAACCATTTTTCAATTGTACAGCAGAGTGAAAACTCCAATGAAGAAAAATCTAATGTAGTTTACAAAATGTAACAAATCATATCACTTAAATGAAATGAATAAAATCATTTCTGTCTAAATACCACTGGAAAATTTTATTTATAAGACCGGTTTCAGGTTTGATCCCATCATCAAGTATAAAACTGAAATCTGAATTTTGAAATATCTCTAAAAAGTCTCATAAAAGTGATTGCAGGGAGAATATAAACAGATGTGCATTATCAGAACATGTTAATGATAATGAGCATACAATGGATTACAACAATTCCACTGTCCTTTGTAAAGAATCAAACCAATTGAAAAGAGTTTTTCTGGAGATGGTATACATTAAGATTCCCTGAATAAGAACTGATTTAAATAATCTCAGTTAAATTTATACTTACATTCTCAAATGTCGAAAAGAAAAAAATCACTTCTAATCAAAGCTTTTCTTCTTAAAATTATTGTCACTGTCAGTCACTTCCATAAAAAAAGAAATGTTTTATGTTTTGTAGAGATACTTTTGTTTCTTTCAATCTTACGTTAGTAAGTAGATCAGTTTGTGATTTAAAATACATATTGTTAATATATTTCAGTTGGTGGTAAGCACCACTGAAAGCTTGACAGAAATGCTTTGGGGTGATCATCGACTGATAATGCCATCATCTGAGATGGCATTATCGCTTGTTTTTCGTGAGACATGAGTAATTGATACCGCTGAAACTGAGTGATGCAACTAGAGTCATGATTTATTACAACTTGCGACTCACAATTAAAGACTGGTGTACGAATTCAACCTAAATAAACTTGGGGCGTGGTAGTTTTCTACTCAAACTATGCTCTTGAACTAAATGTTGGTTAACTTTATAAGTACAGTACTTAAACAATCTCATTAAATTCTACTATTCTTTGATCTAATGATTAGGATTAGGTTTTGATTAAACATATATTGACTATTCATTTATTAGTAGTAGGACATTCCTAATAGTTTATTCAACAGTTAAGAGACACATGATTAAAGTAGATATTATAATTCGAAACTGCTTCATATATAAATCTTTACTATATCATGTCACCAGAAGTTGAGGAATAGGTTTGTAGCACTTACTAAATACAACATTTTTGTAGAAATACTTCGTCTCAGGTGAGTTTGAGATGTTTTACATCAAATTTGTTTTGCTTAATGAAGGTTTGTATAAAATTATTCAGAAAATTTCAAATGCTCCAAATTACCTGATATTAGACTGATGTCAACCAAGTGTGGTTTATTACGTTTTTGTATGAATGTTTGGAAAGCACTGTTGAAGTCATATTTGTCAATTTTTTTTTCTGCACCATCGACACCGAATTCCATTATGAATTCTTTCAATTTCTACTAGTTTCCAGACAATTATTTTAATACTCTACCACAACTTTACACCGTGACCATACAATATTATTGGAAACAGTGACAAGTGACAGTGACGTTCTACATGGAATGGACTGGAAGTTGCAAAGAGAAAATGAAAAGAGAAAGAGTCATGTTTTGGCATTACGTCACTTATAACCTTACGTCAGTATCGACGTCACGACGTTATACGTGTTGCGTACTTTGTGTATTTTTTTTTAATTCTTTCGGTGTATAGCAACACCGAAAAAATTATGGCAAATACGACTAAAATAATTACCTGTGCTTCATTTCATTAGGTATACATTAACGACCAAGTATGCATTCCATATTACTCATGATGTAGTCACAAAGCACGTTCTTTCGTGCAGTAACTTCATTTACAAAATCGCGTCATCCGCAGTGGAATGTATGTAAAGTGGCGTTACAGCCAGTCCATATTGTCATGTCTATGACTGGAAATGTTACTCAGAATATACAAACTGTAATATGTGATTAGACGAGTCGGCGGAAGATGCAAATCACAAAGTGCCCCTAACGTTAGATAATTTCATAAATGGATGAATTTATGAATATGTTTCTGAAAATGAACTTGTAATTTTTTGAGATTTTGGATTAAGTACAGTTTTGAATTCTCCAAAAGAAGTTTTCAATATTGTTTGAATATTTCCGAATTAATTATTTGGAAAAGGTATGGCCACAGCATATAGGATCCAGTTCCCACATCAAAAATATTTCAGCTATTGACTTTAATCAATTCACAGGATCGTCCTGTTCCGAAAAACAAAAATATTGTATGTCCAGGCCAGGTAGCTGTGATCTAATGTAGGGGTTATCTTCAAACGTTTTGTCCACAACTACAATGGGCATCTTCAGCATTGCCTTGTGACCTCCTCGTTAGTGACTCATACGAACATTAAAGAATAGCATTTTTTTAACTAACGGAATAGATAAAGGTTCTTCATTTATTGCGTATTGTAGTCAAAATTGTTGTAATTTAATGTTACAACGATGTTGTAACATCGATGTCTACCAGTGAGGATAACAGTGTTCCTTGTAAGGGAAATTTTACCATTCATTTAGTATATTGTGTAGAAATCCTGTGAATGATATCTGACATAATTCCATAACGAATGTTTGGAATTCAAACTGAGTAGAATGAAGTGTTTTTTATATAATTCACTGTTCATATAAAAGTATTTATTTCAGAAGAATTTTTCTTCCCTGTAATTCAATGTTTATATGAAAGAAGCTGTTTCAGGAGAGCTTTTTCTTCCAATTTGTGTCTGAAAGGTACTTCTTTGCATGATCTACACATCTATGTATAGGGTTACTTCTTTCAAAATTCATAACTTTCCCCCTTTCTTTGAAAGATTTCCACTTTTTCTTTTGTATCAAGATAGAGTAGTAGAAAGCCAAAAAACTTTCTTTCCCTAAAATTAATCACTCCTGAAAATATTATCTCTTCAATATATATAAAAGTTTATATTGAAAAGGGTATATTTTTAGGAGAGGCTAATTTTTGGGAAAGTATAATTCATTTTTCCTGGTTTTTTTGATAAACGATCATTAAGCAAGGTTATTTATAGTTATACTCACGGATCTCTTAATTATCGTTCTTTAAGTTGAAGTTCTGTGGCTAGGCCAAGTATGTTTGTTTTTTGATAGGATGTTCACGGGATGTGTTACGGATTCATGGGTCTATTAAAATTGGCAACACTGAAAAACACTCCTTCCGGCCATTACTAGAACTGCTAACACTCTTTTCCGTTTTAAGGTGAAACATGACTGGGTTCAGTGAAAAGGTAAATTGTTTAATATTTATGTTTTTAACGATTTATTTTTCATAATTTACAAGTAATACTTCATTTTATTGCCTTCAAATATTTTTTGAACAAAATATGTTCTGGTGAATTGCTCAAAAAGTAAACTGTACATAACCTTCAAATATATACAGTTCACGTGTACACCTAATATATTTTCAAAGCATTATCATATTTTTCACTTAATTAACTTTCAGGCCATTCTCATCGATGGCAGGGGCCATTTGTTGGGCCGCCTTGCTGCTATCGTTGCAAAAACACTTCTGCAGGGCAACAAAGTGACTGTAGTTAGGTGCGAACAAATGAACATATCAGGAAATTTCTACAGGTAAGGCTGCTTTTTTAATGGTCAAGGAGGACAGAATCAAAATTTAATCTTTTGTGTAATTGTTATATATTGCACACAGTGAATGAAAGGGGCTCAACTCATCAAGTGCCATTTTTAGTTAGTGGTGCTGTGTGATTCACGGAAACAGTTTTTATATGTTAACCGGGATTTCCTGAAATCATCACATTTTGATTTGTGGCTTTTCCAATATTGATGTGCCATATATTGTATCCCCACTTCGTTGAGTTAGCGCAAGATACTCTAATGATGCTTTCAATTATTTCACTCGCTTCTCATTTCATCATCACATGTATTGCACATAGTAGTTGAATAATTTGTATTCAAATGATTCCTTTCAAGTCTTCAAGATATCTCGAGTCATTGTGGTAATCGAGTGACTGATTATTTTCAATTTGAATTTTGTTATAACTGATGTATTTTAGTATATTTCACAATTTTCATCACCACTTCAGAATTTCTAGAATCCAATATAATCGAATTGAATAGTGGCATAGTTTTGAGTTCTAAAATGGGCCAAACGAAAATCATTTGCGCAATAGCTAACTTCTACTTGCCACTTGCTACTTGAAAAAATTCAACCTATAATTGGTCATTGTCATTTTCTTGAATTTGATTGGGCAAGCATAAATTCATCCTTAGAAATGTCATCTTGAACTTGCTCAATTGGTTAATTAAATACATTTGTTCTACTTTTTCATTTGACAAATTGAAGTGGTAAGAGTTGAGGTTGTCAAAGTTCTGTGATAGCTAAGTGATTAAGTGATATAAAAATTTATCATTGATGATGTGTTTTATTTGTTCTTCTAATTGCAAGTTTGTAGTTTTCATCAACAAGTGCAGTTTTTCTTCGTAAATATGGTTTTGGTGAATTTAGTTTCATTCATTCTCTTATTCTTAATGATTTTGAAGTTCCCGTCATTTGGGAACACATTTTCACTAGAATATCCGTGGTATGCGAAGGGTCTTGGTATATGAAAGTGTCATATACATTAAAAATAATAACCTTTAGTAGAAAAAGCATATTTGCTCATTTGTTTTGGTGGAAAGAAAACTGAACTAGTTGTTTTAATTCACAAGCTAAGTATAATTTACTAATAACACCGATTAAGATACAAGGACTATCATCAATTCATATTCTTCAGGTATACAGTACCTAATTAATGCACTCAGATCGGATCGAATCTGTTAATATTTATTTTGACGGTCACTTTTTTTCAAGACGATTCAGTATTGAGAATTTATAAGTAAAGTAGAATAAAAGTTGAATTTAAAACAGTATATAACAGGTTTGGTTCATCAAAAAGTTTTAACAATATCTATGAGAATTGGAAAATAAAAGTTTTCATTTTCTACTTATCCATCTTGATACAAAAAAATGTGGGAATGTTTCAAAGGAATGAAGGAAGCAATCAATTGCAAAAAAGCCCAAAACCATTATTTCCCAAAAAAATCAAACTCACCTGAAAATATACCCCTTTCAATTTACCTTTCATTCAGTGTATTGTGTAGAAATCCTGTGAATGATATCTGATTAAATTCAATAACAAATGTTTGGAATACAAACTGAGTAGAGAAAATTGTTTTTTGTATAATTCATTGTTCATATAAAAGTATTTATTTCGGGAGAATTTGTCTTTTGTATACTTCAATGGTTATATGAAAGTTGCTGTTTCAGAAGGGGTTATTCTTTCAGTTTGTGTCTGAAAGTTACTTTTCTGCATGATGTACGCATCTATGTATAGAGTTGCTTCTTCTTTCAAAACTGATTGACTCCTTCCTTTTTTTGGAAGATTCCCAGATTTTTTTGTAAGATTGAGTAGTAGAAAGCCGAAAACTTTACCAAAAACCTATTTGAATATTTTGACTTTTCTTCTAAATATGCTGACATTGTTGCATCGAAGAGTTAGGTCCGATCTTATGATACTTTTTATACCAATTAATATTTTCTTCCCAGAACTTTCGGAAGTACCAACCAGGACAACAAACTATGGCATTTCCAACTGTTTCTCTGGAATGCTGAGAATTTGCAATGAATATTCCAAATAAGGTTTAGATAAGATTACTATAATTGAGCATTGATTCAAAATAACTGTTAAAATGTTTGAATGTTTTCTATTTATTAGCTTACATTTGACGTCATTATTGTTTGTTTTATATAATCTGAATAGATTGAAGTTGTATAAAATTAATTGTTTTGGAAATGGGGTTACTGGTATGTAATAATGAATAACTGAATCAATCAAGTTCTGTTTTATACAAATATCTCTGTTTCAATTATGTAATCTCTTTTTTTTTCACAGAAATAAACTCAAATTCCTATCATTTCTTCGCAAGCGTTGCAATGTCAATCCAGCCCGTGGTCCATTCCACTTCAGAGCACCATCCAGAGTTTTCTGGAAAACTGTGAGAGGTATGTTGATTAGAATTGGAATTGTTGATATTGATGACATTAATTTCTTTTCAATCTGCAATAGTATTGAACTTTTTGTTGAGTTCTCCATAGAAATTGTCAAATTATTCGATACTTGTATGTAAACTGAAAGAAAAAACTCTTTTGATACAACTACTTTCACATTAAATCACATGATAGAGAAACAAAAAGTCAAAGTTTTTTTCCATTAAATTGATTCCTCCTAAAGGTATCTTATTTTCAACGTATGCTTTTGTTCTGTAGGAATGTTACCCCACAAAACTGAGAGAGGAAAACAGGCTCTTCGTAAATTGAAAGCATACGAAGGAATTCCACCACCTTATGATCGTAGGAAACGTGTTGTAGTTCCTGGTGCTCTGAGAATTATTTGTCTTAAACCAGGACGTAAGGTAAGTTTTACTTTTTTCGAGGTAACTATTTCTACAAAAAAGATTTCCGGTTCAAGTAGCGCCCGATTTAATTAAGTAAGCCATTAAAATGTGCTCTTCATAGATAGTATTGAAAATTACAATTGAAATACATAAAAAATGATTGTGAAGTTTTCAACAATAATTTTTTAAGTTTTCTTATGATTTCAATACAGGTCATTGGTGTTTTCTCATTGGTAGGCACACTTTAACAGCAGATGTCTAATAACACTTGCACCAGAATTATTGTATTCCGTTCTATGGTTCCACATGGATAACACAATTTCGTCTTCTTTTCCATTCTTTGGCCTCGGCAACTAGGGCTATCCGGCCATAACAAATTTTTGTTTTGTAAATTTCAATTTGCAATTTCATCAATACCTTTTTTTAGCTTTTCCGTGAAGATGATACATTTTATCGAAATATTGAAATAATATTACAAGACTACACTTCCGGTCTGCTATTCACCCAAAGATATTTTCTAATGTTCTTAACTAGCTAGCAATGACTGTCCTTCCTGTGTATATATACATAATCAAGAAATGATTATTGTAGTTTGTCATTTTTTCACCAAACATCCATCAATTCCATAACAAATATTGAGTTCTCCCTAATAACTTATTGATATTTCTGGGTTTCATTTTATGTTAATGCATTGTTTTTTCCAGTTCTGTCACGTAGGAAGATTGTCCCATGAAGTTGGATGGAAGTACCAATCTGTTGTACGCACTTTGGAAACTAAACGTAAAGTTAAGGCAGTGTTGTCCATTCGTAAACGTGACAAGCTGAAGAAAATCACTAAAGCTGCTTCTGAAAAAGTCGCGAAGCAGACAAAACCTTTCACAGATGTTATTAATTCTTACGGTTATAACTAAGATTGAAAGTAAATTTATTTGACGTAGTTGTAGTTTCATTTAATTTGTAAGGAATTCAGTATATTTGTCCAATTATGGGATATATCTCTTTGTTGATGTTTGTGGGAGAAAATGTTTATTTCTTTCAATTTAATGAAATGAGAATGATGTATCTTCTTCAACTGAAAAAACTGGTTCCAGCTCTGAAATATTTCAACATCGTGAAATATACAAAAGGAGTTCTGTGGTAGTGGATGGGCGTGCCGATAACGTCCGCCCCACAAAGTAGGTAAGTACATTGCGGGGCTTGTGTAGTGATTATCTAACTTGAAAATAACTCCTGTGAAAAACGAAAGGTCTGCCGAAGAGGAGAGTGTAGGAAACCTGATGTTTTTAAACAAACAAAAAATGAGAGGAACACTGGGGGTGGCAGCATTGTCTTGAGCAAGACTGCTGCGCACCCTCACGAGAGAGAAGCAACGACCAAATAAAAATTGAGATAGAAATATACAGAAAGCTACACTAATATAAGTAAAGCCAGAGCTGAAATACTTAATGTATAGTTGAGAATGAAAACCACCTCATATAGAAATAGTATATTTATTATTCAAGTTGTTTTTGTGGGTAGAATATTCATTGTGACTTGAAAATATTTTTATAAATATGGTAATGAGATGTTTTGGAGCAATATTGTGAGAAAAATCAGGGTTTATACTTAAGAAAACAATTATTGAAATATTTTCGGCTTTTACTTTCAAACTAGTTTTCCACCTTTTTGGACTGGGAAATCAATTGCTATTGATGTGTATCGGTTCAAATTTACCGCTATTTTCCTTAACGACGTCACAAATGTGGCATCCATGTCACTGAATACCTTACCCAAGAGACACTCGTCACGGAACACGATCCATGATATTTTTGACGGATGACAATCATGGAAGTGATTGTTATCAACCTGAAAATTTCATAAAGTCGAACATTACGATTCGTATATAAGGTGTGGGCAAGGTTTTATACTCCTATATACGAACCTGGCATACCATCAATGTTATTTACATTATTTTGGAATGGGTACTTTCAATTATTCTACTAATTCCAGCTGAGCACCAAAAATCTTCGCTCGTCTATGATATGTTGGTTATTGGAAATAATTGAATTGTACAAAGCGTTCAAAACCTGCAAAATTCAATCAGAAAGGTTAGATCAACTCATTTGTTTACATGATGAGTGGTCTGACCTGTTATTTGTTGAAAATTATGAATAGTATCCATGATATAAATTAAACAATTATTTAATCATCATGGATCATTATACATTATATGTACATACATACATTATATGTTCATGATTTTAAATGACGGAATATGCTTAGTGCACATGCGTTGTTATGGAAACAATGGGTTGCATAAAATATCTGTTATATCTTAAAGAAAATTCCGTTACCAAAGTTGAAATGAAGATGAAAGATGATGTACTTGAGCCGGTCATGAAATGTTTTACTTTTCTTAACTTACCAGGAAATTTCAAAACGATATTTTATGTTAAAATAATCAAATAATCACTTCTTGTATAACCAGAGCATCGAATTCAATCGATTTATATTTTATGGTTGTCCCTAGAGACTCATGTTGAAATAAAATACCTGACAATTGGTCACACGATATATTCAAAAAATATGATCGGTGTGTGTGTCTATAATATATTATTTCCCTATTTACTATTCCTCTTTTTCATACCTCATAATTTTTTGTTTGAAAATTGACGTTATTGCTTCACATAATTTTCTGTCTCTTCAGGCTCCACCTGTAGTAGCAACATGATCCTGGAACTCCTGGCTGGATAGCCCTGGCAGCTGAAGCCATTAATGGAAAAAGAAGAAGAAGAATAACAGAGATGAGGTTATGAGGTACCACAGAACTATAAAACACATCAATTGTTAACTGTGCTGTGACAGCTGTGACTATAACTTATAATTTATAGTTCTGTGGGAGGTACCCAAAACCCAAGAAGAAAAAGAAAAAAAGGAGGTTCTGTTCAACTGTATATTTATCAAAACATTTAATTTTACCTATACTTTAATAGCAATCTTTTAGCCTCTCGTGCACTCATTTCAATTGGAGGATTTTACTTGGGATTGCAAAGAATGGCTACTGTTGTAAGAGTTAAACGTCGATGTGATGATGAACCCATAGAAGCTTTCATTTTCAGTTGTAAAAGAAGAAAAATTTCATCAGATGATCCATTATATACCACAGTATTCAAATTTGCAAGAACATTGGAAAAAGTGCGTTTAAATGAATATATGTCAGTTTCTAATTAGTATTTCTATTGACTTCTTAATATTTTCAGGACACGGATATTTCTTCTCAATTGGATGCTGCGAAATATGCTGACATTCAGAAAATAAAAAATAACATCAAAAAGCGTGATGTCGATATTAACGTCAAGCTGAGAGCTGAACATAAGGAGTCTTCAAAAAGAAATCGTTTCAAAATAGTCAATCGTTTCAGATCACAAGCTGAAAATGACAGTGATTCAGAAACAGGTGTGAGTAAATCCGTTACTGTTCTGGATTTAGAAAACGATCTAGAAGGAAATACTGATGTGAAACCTGACTCCCATGAAGGTCAAGATAAATATGTTTATGATATGTATTATAATTATTCTGGTGAAGTAAAGGATACGGATATCGAAGAGTACTTGAGGTAAGACAGTAATAGCTGTGTATTTTTAGCATGGTTCTGGTTCTGAAATTACTATTGCCTTCATCATTTTGACTGATTATTTTACTTTTTCAGCATTGAACCAGTTCATGACTATTTTTCGACGGCTTCACTTGCAGATGATGATGATTTGAGCAGTGATACTGAAAGTGAAGATTCAAATGCGGAGAATAATGAACGCAATGAATATCCAAATGAATCCGATGTTGAATCAATCGATGAAAATGATATGATGGAAGCAATGCAAAATATGAACATGCATGATTATAGTTCATCCAGTGATTATGATGAAGATGATTATACTTGGGGTGAGGACGATAAAATTTCAGACTTAGATGTGAGGCATCACGGGAAGCTCTATGCGATGTTCAAAGCCAAATATAAAGAAGAGGTTGATTCTGACTTGGAAGATGATTTTTCTGAATGAATATATTTGAAGTTTATATTATTTTATCATACTGCTGCTCATTTTGAAATAATTTTTGTTTGATTTTTCTTTTATTACACACAGTATGGTCATACAAAAAAGATTAAAAAGGCTGAGGTGATATTATATTGCTACTGAGTTGGTGGAAATATATAGTAAAAAAAATTAATGTTCACAATGGATCTGGTTGAAATCGTGACTTACGAACAATTTCTGATGGTTCCTTTCATTTCCCAGGGTTGCTATTACACCAGCCGTGACAGAAACTCTAGTGAAAAAAGGATTCAAGGTGAATGTAGAGGAAGATGCGGGAGTTTTTTTTAATGTATCACATACCGGCACAACTGACCTGATAGATTCAGACAAACTCGAGAGATTTTCCATTTTTGCTGGAAAAGAAGATGTCATTGATTCAATCCAATCGAAAAGTGTGTTAATTAGGTAATTTTTACCTGCAGAGTATGTATTAATAAAGCCTTTGCGTTATTAAGTAAATCATAGTTCTTATTAGCAAGCTGGGAAAAAATTGTGAATTCAGTTAAATCGCAGGGTTTTTGTTAATTCAATTATCAGACCAATGATCACTTATGGAGCAATTACCTGGTGGCCGAAGACTTTACAGAAAATAACTCAGCGAAGCTCTCTGGCTTACAGAGACACGCTTGTCTGGCCATGTGTGGTGCCATCAGTACCAAACCGTGAGCGGCCATGGAGATTCTTCTAGATCTACCTCCTCTCCACATTTTTCTGGAGAGGCTAGATGGACTGCATATAGACTTGTGCACATTGCTAATTGCACAAATCAATTCAATGCAGAGTAAAATAGACTGCTGATTGACGAACTGCCTTATACAGTACTGTTCCCGTGTGGAGAGGAGTGGCCTCTCCGGGAGAAGGAAATATTAAGAGCAGATAGTTGTTGGTTCACAGATGGATCAAAAGCATCTTCAGGACCTAGGGACCTACACGACTGTATTTCAAGTGTGCGGAGAGATTGGTTGAATTCAACCTCATACACAAGTCAATAAAATTATTCTCGGACAGTCAAGCGGCGTTGGAAGCTCTTGGCTTTTACCAAGCAACGACTAAATTGGTAGCAAATTGCAAAAAACGACTCTTCTCAATAGGAAGGCTCAACAAATTGTCTCTGGTTTGGATTTTGGGTCATACTAGCCTGGAAGGCAATGAGGCTGCTGACTCCCTTGCAAAGGAGGGTGCTGCAAAAAGCTTCATCGAAGCAGAACCTGTCGTTGGCATCGATTTAGGCTTTGCCAAACAAACATTGAACACCTGGATGGCAAGAAGATTTATAGACTTCTGGCAAAACCTTTCAGGATTGGCTCACTCCAAGGCATTCATTCACCCTTCGAATTTTGAAACCAAACAGTTGTTGGACATCAATAAGGTTGAACTACGATGTCTAACAAGACTTCTCACAGGTCACTTTTGTCTGAATCATCATATGCAAAGACTCGGACTGTCTGAAGACTGTGTGTGTCGCCTCTGTTTGGAAAATGATGAAACAGCAGAGCACATACTTTTTGCCTGCCCCGCTGCGGACCAAATCAGTATTTCAGAGTTTGGCAGAGCCGCGCTCTTACCATCTGACCTGAAAGATCACTCGCCATATGAACTAATCGGATTCCTCAAGAAGCTGGGTTTATTTGGTCGAGTTTGAAAAGGTGTGAGCCATAATAAACCCTTGCGGGTTGCGGTGGAGGGTCGAATAGACCCACTCACTTCTGACCTAACCTAACACAAAAAGTAAAACACTTCTAAACCGTTTCACTAGTTCGGACTTCCATTGTCTAATATATAAAATGATTTGAAATCTCTGAAACAACTAAAAAGGGAGAATTAAAAATGAATAGCTGAAAATAACAATTATATTAAACAAAAATAATCTGAAATGAAAGAATAGTGAAATGAAATACAAGTAACAATAGAACGATTGAACAAAAAAAAAATAAAGTATAAAAAATTATAAAGAAATAAATTGAAAATAAAAATAAAAAATTAAGAGATTCCAAGCCATGTTAGTTCACGACGTTTCGATTGTTAGTATCTACAATCGTCTTGGAGTGATGACGGACTGATTCCTCCGAGAGATGACTATTTATGGGTCGTTCGAGTTCTTTCATTTATTCCCGCTTTCTATTTTTTTTCGCTCCACTAGTTCAGTGGGAGATGACCGTTTGGCGGGAATTGTCCATTTTTCATTTGATGATGGGTTCCCATATGTTGCGTATCTCTACGCTAGCGTGGCTGAATACGTTGTTGGACAACATGTATGCGGCTTCCTTGAATTTTTTCCCAAACCATCGTTCCTCTCTGTGTATGATCTCAGCTTGGGACCACTCGATGTTGTGTTGATGGGTCCAAACATGGTCAGCTATTCCTGATTTGCTGGTTTCCCTTCGCTGTGTGTGTTTCTTGTGCTTAGCAATGCGAACATTCAATGGCCTTTTAGTTTCACCAATATAGGATTTTCCGCACTCACAGGGAATCCGGTAAATGCAATTCTTGGAATCGCAGTCCGCGTTTGGTGGCCTGGTTTTCGTGAGGCTGCTACAGATAGTGTTACCGGATCTGAAGCAGGTTCTGATGTTGTACTTGGAACCAATTCTTCTTATCCTTTCCGATAATCCTCTGATGTAGGGAAGTGCAAGCACTAGTTCCTACTCGAGTCCTTCCTTCGTATTACAGAGCCCGAAAGCACGGTCTAATAGAGTCTTGATTATTCCTCTTTTAGTCGATTGATGGTAGTTGGATTCAGATACTGATCTGAATCGACCATCAATCGACTAAAAGAGGAATCATCAAGACTATATTAGACCGTGCTTTCGAGCTCTGTAATACAAAGGAAGGTCTCGAGAAGGAACTAGACATCATCAAAAATGATCTTCATCGGAATGGCTACTCCAAAGCGATTGTAAAAAAGACTTTGGCTGAAAGACAGCAGGAGCCTCGCAAGGAAGAGAAGCCGTCACTACCAGTGCTAACACCTCCCTACATCAGAGGATTATCGGAGAGGATAAGAAGAATTGGTTCCAAGTACAACATCGGAACCTGCTTCAGATCCGGTAACACTATCCGTAGCAGCCTCACAAAAACTAGGCCACCAAACGCGGACTGCGATTCCAAGAATTGCATTTACCGGATACCCTGTGAGTGCGGAAAATCCTATATTGGTGAAATTAAGAGGCCATTGAATGTTTGCATTGCCGAGCATTAAAAAAAACACACAGCGAGGGGAAATCAGCAAATCAGAAATAGCAGACCATGTTTGGACTCATCAACACAACATCGAGTGGTTCCAAGCTGAGATCATACACAGAGAGGAACATTGGTTTAGGAGAATTCATCATGAAAAATTGTCAATCACCTTCAAACACACTTCTGAACCGTAGGTTTTTTTTAACCTTTGCAACAGAATATAATATGTTTTTCTGCTGAAAGTATCACCGCAAGAGGTACTTGAAAAACAGCGATTCTCACACTCCCTAAAACTAAAAAATGTAGAAGTTATATAGATGTTGTAAACAATTCTTATACTTTGAAAAATACTATTACATTTTCTACAAGCTTGACTAATCCAGTCAAAATGAACATCAATTTGCAATGATTTTCATAAGCTGAATATCGTTATACTTTTTAGATACACCTACTATTAGAAATCAAAAGTGTTCACTGTATTCAACTCAATGTTGGAGCAAGACTGGTCTTGGCCTTGGCATATAACATGTAGTATCTACCTACATATTACAAACTGATAATATTTTTTCAAACACTCTTCCACTTCAACTCTCTTTGCTATTGTAAAAAATTATATTCATAATTTTTTCTGGAATAGCTAAATCTAATTGTTTTGTATGTCTGTTTGTGTTTCTGATTATTGTTGCCAATTTTGATAATCAGATAATTAATTTTGTTTTAAAGTTGATTTTTGTATCAAATTTAAAAACAATAAAATTTTTTAATAGACACTGAAAATACCTTTTGAATGACGTATCCCAACAGATACTTTTAAATCTGAAATTGACATGTTTTTCACATAATAAAATGTAAAAGTGAAACCTCAGGCGTAGAAAAAAGTTTTCTTCGTTTGAAAACGGCACCTTGGTAAATCGCGCGTCGAGAAAAGCATTGCATTTCTGGTGATTGGGAAAAGTACTTGCTTTTTGGTGTTATGTTCGTATTAACTTTGGAATTTTATTAGTTAAAATATAACTTGATCTTTTACATTTTTCATTCATCAGTAAGACCTTCCTAATATTTATTTATTTGAAAAATTCTTAGGATAGTTTTGTTAAAGTTTCTTAAATTATTTCAAATTAGTAATATATAGTTCAAAATCTCTGTTATAGGAATTTGAAAATATTATCATGCCACCCATAGACTCATTTTGAGTATAAATTTCAGCATATCTCAGCATTATTTGGGACATTATTGGCTATAATTTATTGTTTTTAATTGTTTTCAATTGTTCACTAGGGTATTTGTATCTGTAATGAAACCAAATATCACTGTTTTAATAATAACTTAATGTATATATGTACCTATATTTCATTATCTATTTAAATGTTACTTAACATATGATACTGAAATCTTCATTTGTAATGTTCACTGTCTGGCTACATGCTAGTTTAAATCTCAAATTGTTTAAATTTTAAATTTTTTACATATATTTTTTTTAATATTTCATTGTGCTAGTGTTCATATGTTTCCTAAACGGTTATCTCCCGCTAAAACAATGAAACGGAGAGAGGGAAGACGGGTTAGGTGAAAGGACTGGAATGACCTATAAATAGTCATATCTCAGAGGAATAAGTCCAGTTATTACCCAAAGACGATTGTGTATACTAAAATCGAAACGTTGTGACGTAACTTGGTTTGGAATCTTTAAATTTTCATTTTTCATATTTTGTTAATGATATTTTTGAATTTTCAGCTTTTATTGATAGTAAATTTTTTTGTTTTTTGGTTGTTGCTTGTATGAAGCGGAGAGAGGGAAGAGGGGATAGGTGAAAGGACTCGAATGACCTATAAATAGTCATATCTCGGAGGAATAAGTCCAGTTATTACCCGAAGACGATTGTGGATACTAACAATCGAAACGTCGTGACGTAACTTGGTTTGGAATCTTTAAATTTTCATTTTTCATTTTTTGTTAATGATATTTTTGAATTTTCAGCTTTTATTGATAATAAAATTTTTTGTTTTTTGGTTGTTGCTTGCATGTTATTTCTTTGTAATTTTCAGTTTTTTGTTTAATAAAATTGTTATTTTTGGTTAATCTTTTTAATTTTTTTTCAGGGATTTCAAATCCGAACTGATAAAACACACCACGAAACATTGTCAACCACCTTCAAACAAACGCTGAAATTGTTGCTTGAAAGATACTTTGATCTTTTTGTTCTTCATTTTAATAAAAAAGTCGAATATTCAAAGAAACAATACCGTGAATAACACGATCCAGAGAGTAATTTGAGTCCACAAACTATAAAATAGACAGCTGTAAAGAACATCTGATGTTACAGAAATGGACTAATCATGTGATAGCATACGAAACCAAATATTCATGTACCTCCACTTGATCGACATTTTTACGACTTTTATAAACACTTTGTAATTTTTTTTGTCGTCGGATGATCTAATTGTATACAAATGCACAGTTAGGTACTAATATTAATTTAACACACAATAGGTAGCGCCTACATTTCGGACAAAGTTGTGTTTCTGTTTAATTCGGTATAGAGAAAATGGAAAAAATAATTTGACAACCGGACGTAGCCGAACGATTAATCTACTAAATTTAACTCTAGAACATCGGGACGCGTGGAGGTTCACACCGTTCAGTTTTAGCATCGTACAGCAAACTCTCAAAATATAAACTCTTAGTTCATTATTATAACTCTGTTAGTAAAACATTCATTCATTTATAATAACGTGTGGTAAGTCGAAGTGGACGATGGCTTTTATTTTGATAGCTTGCTCAGTACAATCGGAATGATGCTGCACTCGGAATGATGATATCAGCCTGTGAAACTGAATATCACTGTTACGCGAGTAAATGGACGAAACATGGCTTCATTAGTAGTGTTTTTGTTTCGCGGGACCAAAATATCAGATTCAATGAGGCCAAATACTTCTCTGTGGCGACAATATGAGCTTTAAACAATCATCCCTCGAGAACTCTGGACAAAGTATTGGCTGTGATCCAAAATCTGCTAAACGTAACAGTGGTTTATTTGCCTTCTTGAAATGGTTCAAACCGTCGACATCTCGAGAGTCCATAACTGCGGATCCACAAATATCTCAATCGAGCAGCTGTGATAGCTTGAATTCCACTCATAGTGTAGGAACAGTGGCCTCTTTTTCTTTTGTGTCTCCTGGTGACTACAAAAAATGTGTTTCCGAAAAGTGCATTGCCCTCGGCCCTGAAACGGATACGTACAAAGCAAGACTAAAACAGAGAGACAAGAGGAAAGAAAATGATAAAAATTTGACACTGAGGAAGAAGTATAATCTATTTTTCAACAGAGACACCTTTCTGAAACCTAAAACAACAGAAATCGACGAGGAAAACTCGAAAAGTTTGCCGCTGATGACTCGGGGTGTGATGGAATCCGTTGAAGTTCATCGAAGGACTATTAGTGAATCTTCAAACATCAGAAGAATTAGCTCCCACTCACATGTGAAAGGAAAACGGAAAGCTCCTCAACCGCCTTCGTATAAAGTGCCACAAGAAGGAATGTCGACCGCCAGCCTTAGAAGAACCAAACGATTAGCTCCAACACCTCCACCTGTATCCGCTGGAAAAGTTATTAAATCAATAAAACGGGTAGACAAAACAGATTCAATTGATTACGAAGATATGGGTATCATTTGTAACGACTCTTTGAAACTCGATAATGGAATTCTAAAGTCGGTGAAAGATTTATCGGCTGAATCGAAAAGTAATGAGCCTGAACCAAATGAAAACTTAACATCAACATTCTTAACCCCAGTTACTGTTGAGACACCCGTTTCTCCGAGACCATGGTATAAAAGGAATACAAGTCGTGAACACTTTACTAGAAAAGAAAAGAATGAAAGTAAATACGAACCAATCGAACGCTTACCAGAAGTACCTTTTTCGAGGAATTCGTCTTTAGACTTGACACAAGAAATTGGAGATGAAAGAAAGAAAGATGAGAAGAGAAAATCTGGAATGTCGTTCTTAACTAACATAAGTGAGTTGGACAGGGAAGCCTGTGAAATAATAAAAAGTAAAGATCAGGTGAAAACAAGCAGCACACAGATGGGAAAAATTCCCGAGTTCATGCGCCCTAGAGAAGTTAAAGTGAACACAGACAGTTGGGTTTCACCTAAAAGACGATCAGCAAGGGATTTGATTGCTAAATTCAATGCAATAACCAACGTGACGAAGGCTACGGTATTCGGCGCCTCTCAAAGAGATAATCAACCCATCGGAAAGCAGAGGAGTTTGGACGAAACAAAGAGAAGGCAAGAACAAGTCCTAGAAAGTCATCAAAAGACAATAGAAGAAATCGATAAGAAAAAGATACCTCTCGCAAAATCAGAAAGTACCAACTCTGTGGCACCAAAACAAGAAACAACCAATCTAGATAAGAAGAGCTGGGTTTGTCCTAAGTGTAATATAGGAAATGATTACTGGAGAATAATCTGCCATGTTTGTTCCTCAATCAAACCATACTTTGACGATTTAACAGTTTCGCCGCTGGACGAAAATAAAGGTAGAATTCAGACAAAGTGTGCAAGTCCTCTTATAATGAGAAAGGATAAATTTATACCACAGAAGTTGGAAATCGAAAGGTCGAAGACCCAAATAGATTTCTCTGCCTTGACAAATTCTAATGTCAAAGCCAAAATGAATCAGTCGCCATTCAAAAACGAGAAATCGCAAAAGGAAATGGAGTACAAGAAGGAACAAAGAGAGAAATTGAAGAAGATGTTGATAGACATGAAAAACTCTTTGCCAAAACGTAAGACGCATGCGTTTCAAAAACAGACCAATCAAAATCGTATTTCAGATAATAGTGTGGAATTGGCGGAAAAAGAAGTTGAAGAAGAGAGAGCTAATGGGAAACCTGATACTGAAGAAGACATAGCAACGGTGTTTTCGAAATCAGATAAAACGCAAGAAGAGAAAATCGCAGAGATCCTAATTGGCACTACCCAAACTATATATGAGAATATTAAAGTGAAAAAAACAGATAATCCAAAACTCATCAAAGTTTCCTCCTCGGCTCAAACTAGTGGAGTAGTCAAGCAACTGGTGCCAGCTCCAGCTATTTCTAATTTGATCAAGAATCAAGATAAACATAATAACTACGAATTGATGCGACCTAAAGATTTCGAAAATATTTACACGGATTCAAACTCCAAATCAGCTGCTACTGTTTATGCGAATCTGAGTAGGAACCATGAGTTGTCCTTATTTTTCAATATGCCGAAAAATTTGAAAAAAGAGACCAGTAATACTGACACCATTCGGATTAACGTTCTTCTGAAAAAGTTGGAGAATTCAATTTCGAAGGGTGAATTGAAAGATGCCGCTGTTTTCGCAGAGGAATTAGCCCAGCTTCGAGTTAATTGTTCAGTGATAAGACAGAAACCAAAAGTGTTGCCAGAAGTCGAGAAAAAGAAAATTCAGTGAGTCTACTTTTCTATACTAATTTTATACTTGTGATGCACTGTTTGGAACCTTTGGCATAGTAATGAATATTACTGGAGTTTTATCCAAACACCAAACCGTTGTTTTAACACCTCTACACGTGTTCCGATCACCCAGTGATCGTCTTCAAGAGGAACATCAATCTTCCTCATGAGGATGATCACTTGGTGACCGAAACACGTATCGAGGTGTTGAAATAATGGTTTGGTGTTGGGATAAAACTCCAGTAATATACTAATTTTATATTCATTTCAATTATTATTATTATTCTACAGCATGTAGATAATCCGCATCATTTTTCCGGTTCATGATTAATAGTTAAACTTATTTTATGCAAATATATATTCTCAGACTTATATAAACAAAAATTGTTTCATTTGTTCGTAATTGATTATTCACCTTTGTAATGAAACATTTCAAAACTTTCTGGAAATATTGAATGTTTACAGAAAATTTTGCACATTATAATATGAAGTATCATGAAGATTCATTACAAAAATTAATATGCATGATGAATTTGTCTTTCTTGCCAGATTCACTGAAACAAATTTAAGACTCAATAAGTTGATTTTCGAAGAGTAAATTCATATTCCAAAATAAATTTATTGTCGGATTATATTTTCATTAATGGTCTTGATTTTTTACCTTCATTATCGATGCCTTTTTTCAATTGGGGTAGCTGTCTTTTATATACAGTTAGAAATTCAAATATTTGAAAAATACGTACCTAGCCTAACTTTCAAAAATATATCGAAGGTTCTAGTAATTTTTTCCCCATCTATGTCCAATTTAATATTTATAATAACATGACACAATTTTGTTAAACCTAGTTTTAGAATTTGATATGTCTTTGTTTTCACATCAATAAAAGTTTATCTATCACTTTTGGAAAAATTTAAATTCCTTTAAATTTTTAAATTATAGTAACTCCTTACTTTTGAATACATACCTAGCACGTTACGAGGTCATTCATAAGTTAATTTACAGGCTGGTTTCCAGAACATACTCGTGAATTTTGGAAATCCCGGAATGTGAAATAAACCATATATTGAAACTTTTCCAATATCAAGATAAAGAAATGATATTGAACAGGACAATATTTATTATCTAGATTCTAGAAGTGCTCAAAATTGCTACATTCATGGTCCAATATCAGGTCTGCATGAAAATCACCAGTAGTACTCGACTGGATGATGAATAGCATGACTAGTAACTCACTAACATTATAAAATCAAACAGAGAAATAAAACGAAACCGATTCTTGAAAAGGATGTGTTGAAGCTTTTTTCACTCCCACTTTTGTCATATCTTAACCTGATAGATATTTATATTCAGGTCACATAAATATTGTGATTTATTCGCTACAGATGACACCTCTAAAGACGTGTTTCGATAATCTCATCTTCTACAATTCTGCGAAAATAACTATGAAATAGTGTTTTTATCTGCAGTTGTTTTACTTTGTATCTTTAACTATACAAGAATCTTGTAATTTCGAACTTATAAATGTAGCTACTATTCGAATATATGAGAGTCAATATAAATGAACTGAACTGAATGATGCGTGGGTGGATGATAACTAGTTCCCCGTTTGAGATAGAAAAACATTGTAGAGAGCAGTGAAAGCTATTTTCTAAAAATAACTTCTAATATATAGAAAGACCAGTAAATATGTGACATGTTTCTTGAAAGAAATATTCTCTTTCTATTATTTATATATTTCAGTATAATCATTCCAATATTTCTAAATTGATGATTTCCACCATAGAATCGAGTTTTTTCATTAAAAATTCTGAAGATGAACTGAAAAACAGTGTTTTTTCGCTGAGCTGATACTATGTTGTTGAACTGCTTCAGTGTATGTCGGATGTAATCTAGGATCCATCTTATTATTCGCCAGGAAAGTATGTTTACTACTATGTAAGACAGCTGGAAGATTTGTTTGAAATTTCATTTAAAATATTTATTTTTTCAAATAGAGTTTCATCATTTGAGTTTCATTAGAAATGTACTCAACGCGTAATAAAAACGCGTATAAAAGGTTGATGAGAAAAACCCAGGTAACAGAGGTCCAAATAATTACTTCACAATATTCTGGTATATTGTGGAATGCTGTCAAGTATTCTCGAATACTCTGGATTCTTTTAGAAATTTCAAGAGATCCAAAATTCTGGCAATTACCTACTTTGGAAAAGTTGTAGTGAAATTAGGAGTATTTATCAGAGTTTGCAAGTGTCTTACAAATACAGGCAACGATCAGTTACACTTATATCATGAATGCAAAATCATTTCTGTTTTCATTTTTTTTTGCTATTGTCATGTGATCAAGGATGTGTTAACTAATTTCTATGAGAGTAAAGCGTTTTCTACAAGATTTAGATCGATTTTTTCGTTCGTGGCCACGTTTGTCCAATGAATAAAAGGAATTCCATGAATACGCAAAACTAACAAATGCAAAGAGACATCTAAATTAAGCCCTAAAATGAGTGATTCATCTACAGAGGAGGATTTTTATTGTGACTAATTGATTCACAAGGAAAATCCAACCCGCGCCAAGCAACTGCCAACAAAGGCAAATATTATTAGAATTAGCAATAAAATGCAGTTGCGACCGTTCATATAAACTGCGTGCCGCCGACTTTGTTTCAATATTAGACACAATATTTACCAGGGAACCTGTTCCGTGAACTTTTCAGAAATTCGCTACCTTTTCTGAACAATTAAGTATACACTAGTAGGTATAGTCGAAGTTAACAAAGTTCACATTCAAAGTTGGCAGCACTCTCAAAGGACAAAAAAAACAATACATAGAAATGAACCGGCTGCAAACTAGTCTACTAGTCATAAAATTAAATTTGAAGTCATGTTATGGTGACGAATAGAAATCGGGAATGCGGGGATGGTTATCGCCGTTGTGTTCAGTTCAGGAACTGATCGCGATTTGAGTGTTGAAATGCGATATTGGTGCAGTTATAATTACTTAGAATTTTTGTTATCTGTTTAAAATGTGGCATCCTTGGACAAAGACTAATAGTAATAACTAGTATGATAACAACGCACACTTTTTCCAGTGTAATGATTCCAATAGCGATGGTGAACAATGCGAAAAAGAGATACCAGTGAATAAGATTCGGATGCATTTGAATATTGAAACACAGAGAGTATGTTTCAATGTATATAAGAATCTACATCTGAAGTTTGGTTTCGAGGGAAACACATTATTACAAGCAACATCAGATTTGACCAAAATTCCTTTCTCAACTGTACGTAAAATATTCAAATACAAACCTTATAAACGCAAGACGCGAATGTGATATAGGATTACCAAAACAATATGCGACTGTTACAAGAGCAATGAGATTCCTACAACTGAAGTCATAAGGGAGAAATTGAATACTTCTGGCCATAACGTGAGCTGCTGTGACAAAACTCTTCATTATTGTATGAAGAAAGTAGGATTTAGATTTGAAATAATAAACAAACGTCAAGTAGTTATGGAAAGCAGAAGAATAGTGGAATTGCGTAACAAATACTTAGAACAAATAACTAAAAATACACAAGAACAGCGGCAAATTTTTTTTTGGACGAAACTCACGACACAGTTACGAAAAAGTGGACTGATGGTTCGATAATTAACTTTCTCTGTATACAACTGAAAAGATGGATTCTAGATTATGAATGCATATTCTAATTTCAACCTGACGAAAGCATAGTATAATGTTTTCGATATAGATGGATCCGCGAAATCTCTGAAGATTCTTGCTAAAAATCCATACGTTCTGTTTGCAGCAGACAGAATGGCTTCAATGTGTGGCACGAAGAAAAGTTTTTTGTCGAAGGTAACACCTAGATCGGTGAATGTGAGAGGCCGTTGAAGTGGAATATCGTTTCTTAAACATTGATATGAAAATGGACTATTTTTTAGTGTGTACGTCATTGCATTACATTTACTCGCGTTTAAAGAAAGATTATTGCGAAAACATCATTGCTAACCACGTTTTAGATTGAAGGAGAGTTGAAGACAGTCCTCGATGCCATTGATCTCACAATATAATTTCAGATCATCCGCGTATATCAAACAGTTGATGTCACCCGAGGTAGCTGCATATTCCACAGAGTTGAAGTCATTGAATATAACATATAGTGAAGCATGATAATGAATGTTAAAGGTTTCGCAAATTAAACTGCAATACTCTTTATTATTGAAAGATATACAGTCAGTTATACAGCCCTGAAACAGGTAAACGAAAATCGACAATTTAAATTTTATCAGATATTTTGAAAACGCCGCACGTTGCTTTAAATTTCCTCGCGTTTTTTGATTGAACTTTGAAATACGCAACTTTTTCGTGAATCATCAGATCTTCAGAAGTGAGGGTTCTAGAGATCGTAACAATGACTTTTTTTCAAAAGCCAGCCTGTTTGATATATGAATAGGATGAGTGTCACTGACAAACACTAATATCAAATATTATGCTTTTCGAATAAATTATTCGTTATAGGTGGCCCTGGATATATGAAATCCTCCATATCAACCTCTCGTATGAACCTGCATAGTGTTTTCACCACTTATCTTTGGAAACACAAGAGTTTTTCAGTGTCATAATTTGTCTGTAAATATATCTCTTGCCGTTTAGGGAACAACATCGCATAGACACAAATTCGAATAGCCCTGTATACTTCTGCACTATAAATAAATGCAAGTATCTGGGACGTCAAGAATAGGAATGACTGGGAGATTCGGGAAAGAGCATAGGACAGTAACCGTTAAAAAGAAAAGAAGGCACCGTGTTAGAGTTATTCCTATTCTTGACAATTGATTTATCTTGAGACCGGAGGTGTTTACTCAGACGTCTCAAACGAAATACCACCGAATCGTCAAGATTGTTCTCAATTTCTGAAACGTAATGACTCATATCCATAACCCTCTATTAACGAACTTATTTTAGGAGGTGAATCACGGTCATATTATTCATGACATTGACAATGTAATCGGATACGGGATTTGTCCGTCTTGTTAATTAAAATAATTTGTTGAAACTGAAGTTATGATTCGTTATTTTTAGGGGCCAACTTCGGATGACTAGACTGGTTCTATTTACATTTTACGATGCAAACCACTTGAACTGAATTGAACTGTATAGATGCAGTGACCAGCTTGGTCACGTCCATAATGGTGTAAACTGTCAGAAATATAACTGAAGGTGCTAGTCAATTTAGTAACCTTTAAATTTGGGGATCGGTAGTTGAGAAAGATCCTCTACTTCACTTCTATTTGTGTCCAAAATGCAAATACATCATCTATGTATCGGATCCAAGTGCATAGAAAGTAATATAAATCTTTTCTTGGTTTCAATTCGAAGCTGCTTACGAACAGATTATTCCTCAAGGGACAGTACGGAATTCTCTTTGCTGCTTGTAGAAGTAATTGAGCTGAAACCAATTCTGTTCTGTGTGAGCTAGATATGTTATTCGACTACTCCACTGGCCACGTTTTCCTTGAGCAAATTATTTTCTTTTGCTTTCGGCATTCTCCCAGAAACCAATCATGTTTTAAAAATGGCTTTAGAAATGTGAAAAATATACCGTTATGGAAGCTTCCTTACTGATGCTATTTTTTATTGGCGGATAGCGAAAAGGCATCTGCTCAATTTGGAATTCAATCAAAGCAAACAAATTCCTGGTTTTCGCCTTTGTGGCTGAACATCTTCTGTTGTCGTAGAGGATCCACTTTTCATTACACGTGAGGAACCGATCCAAAAAATGATTCGTTTTGGTTGCCCAAGAGCAAAGAAGAACATACCTCGAAACGTAATCGTTCAAATTGTGGAGCAACCACTTTTCGAGTTTTTTAACCTTTCCAATACGTCTGTATCTGTAGAGTAGGGAGGGTGAGTGTAGGCCCACAGCACTTAGGCCACATGTGGCCTATTGTACATCCTCCCAAAGAGTTGTCCTCCTAGGTCATCGTCCATCCTGTCCTTTCCAGGAAGGTGCACAGGTCTGTGGGAGACATCTCCTTTATATCGGCAGGTGTAGGCCAAGACTCGCCGAACACACACTCTTTTATTGACGATAACTTCGGACATTCGCATAGGACATGCATGACAGTTTCATCTACATGTTCACACATCCTGCATAGAGATGTGTCCACTAGCCACATAATATGGAGGTGTTTCCTTAGTTGACAGTGGCCAGTCAGAAATTCTACTGTTAAGCGTAGATTTTTCCTGGTCATCGCCAGATATTTCTTCGGTGCCAGCTTCCCAAGGTCGCCAAGTGTGATTCTGGCAAGACTGCATCCTTTCATTCCATCCCATCTCTTTAGGGATTGAGCATGGGTATGGCGTTTGGCTAGTTTCGCAATTGTCGAAGTCATCAGGCCGTAGGTGCCCCTGGATCCTAAAATTCTTGGTCCAGCCGCTTTCTTGGCTAAAGAGTCGGCAATGCGATTCTACCGAGGTTTTGGCTAAATCTTGGTGGCACTCTAGTACTAGCCCTGAGGTAACACGTTGTCTGTTCAAAGCTAATAGGGTTTGTCTGCTATCAGTGCTGAATATTTTTACCGGAAATTCCATTCCTGGTTATTTCTTTTGTGGCGATTGAGATACCAGCCAGTTCTGTTTGGACCACGCTGATATTTTCCCCATTCCCCACTTAATCCTTAGGCTTAGTGATCTGGAGTGCAATTTACATCCTAAGCCTTGATTTTTGAGCCGTTTGTATATATGCGTATTGCATTTGTAGCATCTGACTCAGTGTTCTGTTTTATTTGCATTTTGTAGGGTTTATTAAACACAAACCGGGGTTCAATTGCATCATTGGTTGCCTGCAGCAGAGACAGCTGACGCTCAGTTCTTCCGCCATCCCATGCACCATTTTTGATGGGTTAGTCTCCACCAGGGTCCTCAAATCCTTGTCCCGGATTACTGTAGGTCGACCACATCGGGAATCCTCTTCCAAGCTAAAATCTCCGGAACGAAATTTCGCAAACCAACTTCGAACTGTTAGTGAGCTGGAGAGAAAATGTTCAAAAACACATGACACGGACAAAACTTTCAAAACTATCTAATCATTTATTTCAACTTAGTTCAGTAACGAATATTTTTTGTCTGACTTTTGGTATTTGTGTTCAAATTTGATTTGTCAGTATTCGGTCAAGATAAACAAAACCAACATCAATGAAGGTTTTTTTAAAAAAAGTTTAAGGTGAAAGTAGTCTTTAAACCTCGCTTCAACAGGATTGAGCTGCGAGGACTGAGATATAGAATATATTGGTCGGACTAAGCGAGTCATCGAAACACGTTTCAAATGACATGCAGCACATGTTCGATATATCGTTCGCTACTAAATCTTCGAGACATAACTTTCGTTCTCACATACCATATATGATTACTGTAGCGAATGCTTTATAAGAAATATCAAACGTGGAATCAGTCATTGCTCCCATTTCTTGGTAAAAAAAATGTGTGCATCTTGGGACGCCCGACAGAAGTGATAACTTCTGAGTTAAACTATTCAATATTGAAATTGTTCTACTTTAGAAAAGCCTAGGTTATTTCTTAAATTTTATGTATATTAATATGACAATGTATGTACATCTATTACAGCTACCGATAATTATAAACACTATCGAAGCAGTGACGCTAAAGATATATAGAAATTCAAAATATATCTGTAATGTTCCGAGGACCATCTTCTGCTTGTTTCATCAAATTTTTCATAATCACTTTCTGAAGCGGTGATAGTTTTATGTTATATGTTCACTCTCAACAGTATATGTCTATCGCACACTAAACACCGAGTTCTGCGAAGTGAGGAGAGAGAAGCGTCTGTCCAACGGAAGAAGGGAAACCTGCCTGCCACTGCCTGAGAGAAAATGAAGCCAGACATGTTTTCATAGTCACAAAATATCATCAACCTCACAAGATTCTCAAATTGAAAATATTGACAAGTGTTAATACACACCCATCTCTGAAATTGTTAGACCATTGATACCTACACAACTTTACCAAAAATCATTGATATATTGATAAAATAAGAAATGAAATGCTTAGTTTTCTGGAAGTCGCCTCGAATGATGAAATCTCATTAGGTCATTTCTGTTTCAGCGTGGAAATGTACGTGGAAGACAAGGTTTCACATCGGGGTCCATTTCCCATAGAAGTCAGTCCAGATCAATCAGTGGCACAGCTTAAAGTTCAGATAGAAAAGGAGTTCGAAATACCAGTAGCTTATCAGAAATGGATACTAGGCAAGGAGCTGGTAGTCGACGAGAAATCTACTCTGAAAGATCACAATATCACTTCTGAAGGATGCCCAGTGTTTCTATATCTCGTAGCACCAGGTGATTTTCCATTCTTACATTCGATCATGTTTCAACTGATATTTTAATTGTGGAATTGCAAAATTGATTTGATTATAAAATGGAACTGATATGCATTTGAGCTGATGATAGATGACCTATTTCTTTTTCATTTTTGAGTTGTGAAACTGAATATAAGTAATGGTAGTGGACTATGAATCCAACACTTTTGGACTCTGGTATCATATAATTTACTGCTTGAAGTAAACGCTGCAGAAAGAGACAGGAAGCTAATTTTCATTATTTTCATTCGGAAGTCGATGTGAAAGGAATCCAGACTATCTGTTTAGACGTTGCTCGGTAGGAGCCAAGAGCTTCCAACGCCGCTTTACTGTCCGAGATCCCAGTCGGTACTTTTATTTCTCGTTGATGGTCGTAGTTAGGTTAGGTTAGGTCTGAAGTGAGTGGGGATATTCGACTCTCCACCGCAACTCGCGAGGGGTTTATTATGGCTCACACCTATTCGGCAGGTACAAAGTATATGCTCTGCTGTCTCATCATTTTCCAAACAGAGGCGACACACACTGTCTTCCGACAGTCCAAGTCTCTACATATGATTTAAAATGATTTAAATGACAGTGACCAGTAAGAATGCCTGTTAGACATCGTAGTTCATCTCCACTGTAGTCCAACAAATGTTTGGTATCAAGCTTCTAAGGGTAGATAAACTCCTTGGAGTGAGCCAAACCTGGGAGATTTTGCGAGAAGTCCATACATCTTCTTGCCATCCAGGTGCAAAGTCCAAAGTGATGCCAATGACAGGTTCTAGTCCGATGAAGCCGCTTGCAGCACCCTCCTTTGCAAGAGAGTCAGCAGCTCTTCATTACCTTCCAGGCCAGTATGGCCAGGCATCCAGACTATATGTTAAGTCTTCCTATCGAGGAGAGTCGTTTTTGGCAATTTGCTACCAATTCAGACGTTGCTCGGTAGGAGCCAAGAGCTTCCAACACCGCTTGACTGTCCGAGAATATTTTTATTGACTTGTGTGTGAGGTTGGATTTATCCTCTCCGCACACAATTCAAAAGCGTAAATTTCCGCTTGAAATACAGTCGCATGAGTTCCTAGGCAGATATATATCTCTGTCCTGGGTCTGCGACTAAAAACACCTGTGAACCAACAACTATCTGCTCTTGGTCTGACAATCATCACATAAGTCCAATGGATTTGTTTGGGACCTAAGCCCCAAGTTTTACCACAAATCCTTCATCATGTCCATAGAGACAGTCTGGCTTTGTGTGAAAGTTTTCCCAAGTGAGCGTTCCAGGTGAGTCTTTTATCAAGGACAATGCCAAGATATTTCACCTCCGTTGGTGTTGGCGTTGGATCGTCCAATTTTCTCCTCTTGGTGAAGGGGATTAACACAGTTTTGCTGGGATTGACAGACATCTTCTCCCTCAGGCACCAACTGTGAACAACATCCAACGTGCTTCGGAGGATATTACAAGCTACCCTTTCCGACGTGGATCTTGCCAGGATGGCAAGGTCATCTGCGCAAGCTTGCAGATCAACTTTTCTTCTGTCAAGGGCATCAAGCAGATTACCCATCAGGAGCGACCACAGAAGGGGAGATAGTACCCCACCTTGAGGGCAGCCTCTGGTGACCAGGAACCTGATGGCCTCGCCTTGAAGAGTCGTAGTTGCAGTTCTGTTTACTAGCATGGCATAGATCCAGCCAGTTATGGTCGATTATATACCCCTCCTAGCCAGAGTCAATCCTAAAGATTTAGGAAGTGCATTGTCAAATGCACCTTCAATATCAAGAAATACAGCAACCGCAATATTTTCATTCGGAGGTCGATGTGATAGCATGGCTTTGCAATGAATCCCAGTCGGTACCTTTATTTCTCGTTCATGTTCGTAGTTTCAGTTTTCTGTTGATTTTGCAAATAACGCCTTCTTGAGGTGAGACTGTTTGTTATGATGAGGATCATTACCCGGTGTGGATTTTGGCAAAAATACCAACCCATCAGGAAGGTGATACATTCGTCCCTACCATTATATCTCTACTTTTATAACCATCTTTCATCAGCTTATGTCTTCCTGTATAGTGGACATTCGAATATATTATTAGTAATGAAACAGTTTTAATAAAAAAGTTTATTCACATGCATTTTTTTCAAAAACATATTCTTTTTTAGAACTACTTGTCAAGATTAAATTACATGTATTTTTGTTCATCTTCACAGGTGAATCTGGCAACAACTTTCTAAATCATATAAATTGTATAATATAATAAATTGACGGGTTTGACTTAATTTAAAGTTCTCATTCTCCCCTGAACTCATTGTTTTTTCAGATAATTTTATTGATTAATTCTTTTATGGTCGTATGATCGGTATCTACAACATTTGATCTAGTACTATCAAACTTTTCCTAATCTTTGCTAAGTCATAATCGTTTAAATTTAGTATGGCATCCATGTTGTTTTTCGTCATTTTGAATATTTTTTCCTATAATCTTTTCGTTTAATTTTTATATCATGAGGGGTGCATAAAAACGTAAAACACAATTTTTTCAAGTCCACCATATTACATCACTTTATTTATCGTATTCTTTATAATAAACTCTTTACTTTGTACTCAAATTATGGGAGTGTATAAAAATTGTCCACTATCTTGGGCGGTCTACATATTGATTCAGGGTGACGTCATGTCAATTTCAGTATTTTTCCAGTAAACCCTTTCACTTGCTCCCTGAATCATGGACGTCTCATAAAAAATATATCTCATGCTGTCCGCCATATTGGATGTAGCGCACATTCAGATGTATTCTGTAGTCATACAATCGCTCTCAATGCAGTTCCTCTGAAGATACTGGTTCTGATCGATGATTGCATTTTTGAGTTTCCACACCAAAAGAAATCAAGGGGCGATAACTCTGGTGACCGTGAAGGCCATTCAAATGCTTCCTATTCTCTTCTCGAGAGCTATCGAAAATGTTTATCTTAAATAATAGGTCCTTTGATTTTCAACAGGATTATGTCGGGTTTTTTATCAGAATTCAGATGAACATTTTGCACAGCACGGGATTGCCTCTACAGTCTACAATTTTTTTCATAACACCAATCTAAATTTAAACTTTCGAATGCATTTTTTTTACAAATCTACTTAGCAGCTTTTTAAAATTCATTAATTGCTAGGAAAAATAGTTTAACGATATTTTACTAGGTCCCTATGCCATTTGAATCTTGGGTTTAATATCACCCTTATCTGGGGGTAGGAATGAAGAAGTGAAAACTACCATCTTTGTAAGTTTAAATTTTGATTATCTATGAAAGCATTTTATTGATTTCATTTGTATAACATTACAAATTCTGTTAATAACAACCCTCAAATTGATATATAATTTTTATTTTACTGAATACAACACATTAAATTTCATTCTGAAATAGTAGTTCTCATAAATAGGCAGAACAAATGAATGATTATTTTGATTTTAACTTTGACAAATGACAAATTTTGGCTGGATACAGATATGTGATTCTTTTTTTTCCAGAAAATGAATGTGATAAAACCCAAAAGTATGCTGTGAATGAAGAACCAAAACAGTCCACTTCAGGAAAAAGTAACAAATTATTAGAAACAGAAAATAAAGCAGGTAGCTCTCAAATGATGAATGAAATAGATATTGTGAAAAATAATGTGCAAGATTTACAAAACATTTTGAAAGATAATAAAAGCCGAATGAAAAATTCTGATCCACCGCTTGTAGATCATGCCCCAAAAATCGTCAACGTTATTAGAAAAACAACGGAAAATGCTTCAAAAGATGATGGTTTGGTAATTCCAATTGAGGTTGAAATACCGGAGAGTAGAGAAATAAAACATTCAACTAAGACTGAGAAAATAGTGACAACGACTGAAATAAAAATAAAAATAGAACCGAGCCAACCAAAATTGTCTGAAAAAACAAGCCTTGAAGTCAAACCAAGGATCCAGTATGTATTTCCTACCATACAAAATTCCTACCAACCTAGTTTAACTGAAAACGAATCGACTGCGTCTCCAATAATTATACAAGAAAGTACACCAACAGCTGCAAGTTCAAAAACCTTGACGAAGGTAGTACAAACAACTTCAACAGCTGAATGTTCGAATTCCAAGAGTCCACCAAAAGCCGACGAAGACGACGACCAGGAGTACTATGACACAAAAACTCTAAAGCCATCCAAAGAATGGGAATGCCATTTATGCACTTTACTAAATCCAGTCAACAGTAATGTTTGTGCCGTGTGTGCAACAGTGAGGATGAAAAAATTGGAACCCCAAAGTGAAGTTAACGAAAAGGGTAAAAGAAAAGCTCCACAACCCAAACGCGGAACTAAATCGTCTCCCAAACAAGACGAAACATATTTACAATTAGTTAATTTGGATAACGCTGACTTGGTAGAGAATAATTTTCCTTTCGAGTGCATGATATGCTTTCTCGAAATTCCTCCGAGAGAAGGAGTTACACTTCGAGAATGCCTACATCAGTTTTGTAAAGCTTGTTTGGCGCATACTATCGAGTTTGCCGATGAAGCGGAGGTAAAATGTCCTTACAGGGATGATAATTATTCTTGTACCATTGCCCTTCAAGATAGAGAGATCAAGGCTTTAGTAGTACCCAATATTTACGAACAGCACCTGGCCAAATCTATAGCTCAAGCAGAAAATAAGATCGATAAATCGTTTCATTGCAAAACACCAGATTGTAAAGGATGGTGTATATTTGAAGATAATGTCAACGAATTCAGGTGTCCGGTATGTCAGAAACTCAATTGTTTGACTTGTCAGGTACGTATTACAAATATTTTGGAGCATTCAAAGGTTATCATCTACATTTTAAATTTTTTTGGGGTTAATACAGTAGATGAAAACTAAAAAAACACTTACTTAGAAAATAATTTTAGATTAAACGGGGCTATTGTGTTTTCAATGAACATTTCAGTGTATAGCAACAATTCGGATATTTACCTACAGCAAAAGCTTGACTTGACAATGTCAGGAATCTGTGAACAAGACGACATTGAATATTTTTAACAAAATCATCTTATATTTTGAAGAAATTTTAATCAGTGGCGTAGCGTGGGTATCGGCTGCTCGGGGCGGAAGACAATTTTGCCGCCCTCTTGATTAGGTATTTCAATTTAATGTATACTACACATATAATTCTAGAGAACTTTTTGGCTAGAATAGTCATCATTATTTTGCATTATATAAGTTAGATTTCAAATAAAAAAGTTTATTTGTTTTACAATCACGTTTATTAATACAAAAATGTTTACTTCAACCATTTATATAACAGGTACATAGTTATTATTTATACGAAATGATTAAATAATTAGCGACTTGAACATAAAACGAAAATCATTTTTTAATTAGAACTAGGATGATACTATTAACTAATTTTATAAACCATTCCCAATACATTCTTTTTTTAGAAATCATAGTTTTTCTGACCCTAGTTGGGAAGGAGACAGGTAAATTCGATGGTTTTCAATATTTTAACATTTTTCAACATTAACCTGCTTTAGGTATTTCAATACTCAAGACATAAATAAAAAAGTCGAGGGACAAGGCAAAAATCGAGGGTACACTTTTTTTTGAAATTGCTCAAATATTTGTTGGGAACCCTGGGTATGCGAGTGTAAAACTCGTACATGGCCGGATTTTAATAAATTAAAGCTTGAACAAAATATCAGACATTCCAACATTCAATTACACAAATAAAATATTTAATACTCACACAGTTGAATGTAAGTACACGTAGGGGAAAATTAAAATTTTCACTAAGTTATCCAATAATTTTATAACCACTACACGTACTCATTTGTACAAAAATCTCAGTTACGAAACGGTGTGAACTAAACAACTGAAGATCCACGAATAAAACTTTCTTTGAATTGTCAAAGCATCACGTACTATAGGTAGGTACTTGTTAGATTTAAAAACAAAACCTCCGGCTTTTATTAAAAATTTAAACGTCTACTTTTGTTAATAGCAAAGTATCAATATCTGTAGCATCACACACCTCTTGTTCAATAGACAGGATAGCCAAATTTGTTAGTCTTGGAGTATTCATTGTCGACCTTAAATCATTTTTAATTGATTTCAATTTCGAAAAACTTCTCACAGCTGACATTGCTTGTGACAACTGTAAAAAATATTCGCAGCATGATCAAAATATGGGGCAGAGTGTCTTCAAGCTTATATTTCACGATAAACTTCAATAATTTAAGTGAGTCTGCATTAATTAATTTATTTTCGTTTCTGGGTTTGAAGGTCCAGTTGACTGTGATGAATTAAGGTCTAATGTAGAATCTGACGTCTCAGGAACACCACTTTTCACATATTCAAGTAAAGCCCCTTCATTTGCTCTGATATTTTCCAACTTAACTATTCTCTTATTACGGTAAGATGCCTTTTACTCTTTTCATTTTTGATGCTAAAATAAAAAAAATATAGTAATGATAAAATTTAGAGTTACAAATGAAAATATGGAACGTTTCAAAAACTAGGTATATTTTACATCTTACATCTATCTATAGACAAAAATCTGAAAACCATAATGGAGCAATTTTAAAAAAAGTGCACCCTGATGTGAAATTCGATTTTCATTTCTTGTGTGTGTGTTTTTTAAATTTTGATCCTAGTATCTAGAGTATATTTTCGTGATCGTAAAATAAGTCACAAACGGAGGTCCCATATTGCTACCTTCTTGTGGTTTTAAATTATTTAAAAATTAGCTATCGTACTTAGCACTCTCAACCTTTCGGTTGAAAGTGGTTGGTCGGTAACCAAGCNTTGAAGAGCCCTGTACATATTTTTGATATTGAGTGAAAAGTTTATATTCCTCGAATTGATTCATCAATGACAGCATCTTGAGATACTTCTTATTTCAGGCTATACATGCTGGATTGAACTGCAAGCAGTACCAAGAAAGGATGGACGCAGCATCTGAAATCGACGACGACGCCAAAAGGACGAAGGATATGCTGGAAGAAATGGTGAATAAAGGAGAAGCTATAGAATGTCCGACCTGTAGAGTCATTTTGATGAAAAAGTGGGGTTGTGATTGGTTGAGGTGTTCCATGTGTAAAACTGAGATTTGTTGGGTAACAAGAGGGCCTCGTTGGGGACCGGCAGGGAAGGGAGACACTTCTGGAGGATGCCAGTGCGGCGTTAATGGAGTTAAATGCCATCCGAAATGCAATTATTGTCATTAGATTAGCTTTGGTTGTTTATTTCTAGTTTAACCAATACAAGTTGATTTTTATGTATTGCAAAATAACATTTATACCAAACTCTTTTGTAGTAATGCACTTCTCACTGCCGGTTGAAAAACCAAGTCATAAAGTACTTATTTTTGATTTAATAATAATATTTTTATCTCAGAAAATTGTTTTGAATTACTTGAAATGCGTTACTTCCACAAGTTACTATATATTTCTAAAAACGACTCTCCTCAATAGGACGACTAACAAATCGAAGCAGAACCTGTCATTGAAATAATTTTAGGCTTTGCCAAACAAACATTGAACACCTGAATGACAGGAAGATTTATGGACTTCTGGCAAAATCTTGCAGTATTGGCTCACTCCAAGGCGTTTATTCACCCTTCGAAGCTTGATACCAAACAGTTGTTGGACTACAGTCGGGATGAACTATGATGTCTCACAGGTCTTTTCATAGGTCACTGTCGTCTGAATCATAATATACAGAGACTCTGACAGTCGGAAGACAGTGTGTGTTGCCTCTGTTTGAAAAATGATGAAACAGCAGAGCATATACTTTGTGCCTGCCCCGCTGCGGACCAAATTAGGTTTTCAGAGTTTGGTAGAACCACACTTTTACCATCTGACCTGAAAGATCACTCACCATATAAACTAATCAGCTTCGTCAAGAAGCTGGGTTCATTTGGTAGAGTGTGAATAGGTGAGAGCCACAATAAACTCTTGCGGGTTGCCGTGGATAATCGAATAGACCCGCTCACTTTACACCTAACCTAACCTATTTTAAATTTGATCACTTATTTAGGTTTGATCCAACAAAAATTTACTTCAATATTCTGTGAAAACTGAGTAAGCCAGAAGAGTATGAATAAGAAAACAGATATTGTAAACCTTGGCAATATTTATAGTTATTAACTAGAGACGGATCAAATGGTTGAGTTATATGCTGTATTGATATTTTGAGACACAAATCGTTTGTCATTACAGTTAGCTTTGGACATGACTTTACCAATGTAAGATATTCGAAAGATCGACACCATTACCATCAATTTCTCAATTGTAAAGAAAGTGTTTTTTTCATATAGTTACCAATTTGCATTGTGACAAAAGCTGGATAATTGTTGGGTCGAATATTTCTATTCTTTCAGGAGGTTTTTGTTTATATTTATTGATTTCATAGCTTTCAAAAGTGATATCGAAAAGACACAGATTTTCTCTTCAGAAGTTATTCTGATGGATATTTTATTTTTGCTACGTGAGCGGATCCATATCAATATTTTTTTGTATCTATTGAACCATCCACCCTGATTTGAGAGTATTTAAATAATAATTTTCAATCTCTACGAACTGTATACCTACTCTTCGACATTTGGAAACTGAGACGTTGGTTAAAAGTTTGAGTTGAATTTTTCCTTAAAAAAATTGAGGTTTATGTTTATAACGTAAAATAACGGAAAAGTTATCAAATAATTCCAACGGTGGCTAAAACATGAAAAATTTTTTAGGTGGAAATGAGGATGATGAAAATACAATGACTGAATATATTTCGACGTTTTATGTTTGTCTCCTTTCTCCTTTTTTGTAATGTCTCGTCTCATACCGAAAATGTTTTAATAACTCTTCAATTCATTACAAACAAAATGTCCTATCTGCAGTGCCAAGTTTAGAAGAGTTTCTATGAATCAGATAAATTTTGTGACCCAACAATTCATAGGTAAGAATTTTGGGATGTTTTTATACTCTACATTGTTACAATTAGTGGAAGCGTTTTCTTAAAACAAATGGAAATAATTTTCAACAGATAAGGAAATAATTTTTGTAGTTCCACTTCACTTAGAAACAACCTCGCGTACCACGATTTAGGTGCAAATTGAGGAAGGAATAACAAAAGCGTACGATTTACTACAGAACTTTATTTTCAAAAAACTCAAATAGAAATTTCTTGTACAAAAAAGGTAATAAATTTTCATTTCTACAAAGTCCTTATGACAAAGAACTCACAAAATAAAATCACTAGAAAACCACTCGAGTTAAAATAATGTCGAAACTAACAAACGAATGAATAATGAATGAATTATGGACAAATGATGAGGGAGTTTTATTTTTCAGGGTGCGATGCCATAAGAAATGTTAAATATATGTTATGTCAAATAATACACGAGTGCAAACACTTAATATTGATTAGTACACCTCATTCGGAATTTATTACATTTATAAGTTACAATTGGCACTGTCTCTCTGCTCAGTCACACTCACATTCGTCCGTGAACTATATGTACATATAATAACAACACAAACATTTCTAGTGAGCTTGAAAGGATTACGTCAAATTGAATAGTACAATTTATGGCAACATTTTTCATTATGAGTGCTACAAAAATGGTGTGAAGTCGATGTCTATATACATTTTATTATCACCAACTTTCTCCCTCTTCATCATTCACCAGCAAATACTTTGATCCACACATATACTCATTCACCTTCTTCCCCAGTGAAACTATACTAAACCTGTATAATTTGACCTAAATTTAATGACTGCCTACAATTGTATCATTGTAGAAATACTGGCTCATCATAAATGGCATAGTGATTACTTTCCGAAGATATTCAGTTCAGCCCCACAACACCCTTGATATACACACAATTTCAAGGAAATATAACTAACAGTAGTTCGCTCGAATTCTATTATTTTCCAGAATGTCAAGAAACATGTTCATTATTACTTGAATCATGCACGACACAGGCATTAAGATACATTATACAGGAAAATTGAATTGAATCTCCTTCGTGTGCTTCAAAAATAAAATAATTATGCAACAATTACGGCACATCATGAAAATCCCACATAAATCTAACTTACTGAATAATTATTACGATGGAATCTTTGAAACTGGCAGTGGGACAAACAATATTATAGGTATCAGTTTCATAGAAAATTACCGGAGTTCTATCTCAATACCAAACCATTATTTTAAACGCCTCGACACGTGTTTCAATCATCAAGTGATCATATTCAAGAGTTTTAACCTTCCTCTTGAAGATGATCACTTGCTGATCAAAACACGTGTCGAGGTGTTGAAATAACGGTTTGGTGTTGGGAAACTCTCAACTAAAGTCATTACAACCTCGTCAAGTCCTCAGTCTGACAGAAATATAAATAAGTAACAATATTTCCCTACTTACAATTAACTATATATGGTATCCATTACTTTAACGGTAACTTGAGTTTATAATTGACTTTGGTCAAAAGTACTTCCTCATGACGTTTCTATAAGCGAATATGTGGTATTTTCTAAATAGATGTGTCGCCTAAATTCTCTAAAATTATTTTAAGTCGCAGTGTAACTGCAAAGACAGTCTTATTCGACACGTGGAATACGTGAAAAGCAATTTTAGATGGAGGAATGTGTCTGTCACTGAGAAGTCAACCTTTATTCTTCTTCGCGTTCCGTTTCCTCTGCTGGGCCGTACATATCTGCCAGTTTGTCGAAACGGGGTCCCCAGGCACCCAGATAATCGTACTCCTGAACCTCGTCATCAGTTCCTGAAAAACACGCCAAATAAAGTAATTAAAGCAAAGAAATTCATCTACAGATAGTTAGTTTATCGCGAAATAATCTACCAACAGTTTCATCAAATCAGAAATTCGACATTGACATGAAAACTCAAAAAGACTGGCTAATTTATGCCACTCTTTTCATGAAAAATTCAAGATAACTTATGCTAGTAACTGACTAGTAATGCCCCATCGTCACGCCATCTAGTTGCTCATAGAAGTTACTCCTCCACTGAAAGAAACTCCACATGAGACATGCCACGATGTCATTTATATAATAGTGGACAGGTACAAAACTTGAGTAGATATATTATTAATTCTGGTGAAAACACGTAAATTTTCCAAATAAATATAATAAAATGAGTAGTTAAAACGAGTAGTGAATATTAGAAGTACATTTTAATGCAGAATCCCAGAAATAAGTAGCATTGCCACACTCTACACTACCCTTCCCAAAGAGGGATTTACAAGTAAAAAATCACCAATTTATATTTTCTAGATGACATGGAATCGACTAAAGATACAAGGTTTGCAAAATATAATTGGAGAGAAAAATGTTGTTCGAAGCAAATAAAATGATAGAAACTTCAATCTATTATCATTTTGAAGGAAGTATTTCTTGAATTAATATTTAATACCTGTCAGAGGGGAATTATTGTGGACACCTCAATATTTCTGAGTAACAAAAACGATGTTCTGGTTATCATTGATAACACCCATCTGACGAAGCGTTTTTATATATTTCAAGGAATAAACTCTACACACTCGTATCAATGTGAGAAGAAAAAAAGAACTGATATGTCATCACTGCAATCAGTTTTGATAACAGTTGCATCTTCCTCTTGAAGATGATCACTTGGTGATTGAAACACGTGTCGAAGTGTTAAAATAACGATTTGGTGTTGGGAAAAAACTCAAGTAATATTCAACACAGGCTGGTCGAGTATGGAAAATATACAAAGACAGAGATGGAAAAGTCATCAGAAAATTTCCAGGATCATTTCTATTGATAGTATTGAGATTCTAGGGGTTCTAGCTAATACGAAGCATTATGAATGAAATGAAGAAAATAAAGAAACAGCTGAGAAAAGAATAAAAGAAGGAATTGATCATGATAAATATATTTTTTAAGGACAAAACACAAGCACTACTGGAAAATTCTCAAAGCGCTCTGAGAGCGGTGCTTTGGCGAAAGTAGCGATTCACTTAATAGATCATCATTTACTTCAGTTTTTGAAAAATTCAAACTTACAATTACCATTACCGAATCAGTTCATAAATGGCGATTTTAAACAAAGATTTCAATTTTGATGATTGAATTACCTGATGCCAATGAACTGAGGGAACCAGCAGTGCTACCACCTCCTTCATATGCATAATTACGCAGATCATCAAACGGTGGTGCATTCGGATCACCGTCGGCTCGTTTTTTATGTTCCTCGATAAATATTCCAACATTCGGTTCTTGCCCTACACCCAACAGAGAAACTGAAAAAAAAAAGTTGTAACAACCAAACTGGGGCAAACTAAAAATCTCACTACTCACATCCTATTTTCGGAGCAATCAATTCAGGAATTGGACCTCCAATGGGAATTTGGAGGGGCGTAATGTCAAAAGCGGTCATATCATCTTCGCCGCCGCCTTCGTCGTCATAATTGATAATGTTCTCACGAACATCGTCGTCAGGACCAGGATACTTGATATGGGCTTCTCTTCTTCGATTATATACCACGAAAACGAGAACTAGAACTGGAAATTTCAAAGTATTAGTAGGGGGGTTTTTGAATGTAATATCTGCCAGAGCCCAACTTCCGAATGAAATTTGACAGAAGCTGGGTTTGGAACCTTGTAGAAGACCAAATTTGACATTCAGAAACTGTCAAATTTCATTGGAACTATGGATGGCTTTCAAAATTATATTCTCTATGAAGAACATCCGAAGTGCTACATTTATGTACATGCCGATATGTGATAGTAGAAACGTGTTTTCCAAATAATTATTATTGACTGATTATCTAAGCAACGAAATTATAAGAAATTGTTCAACTCTCCAGTGTCAAACATTGTATTTCAATGTTCTCAGAATCAGAAAACCCATTTTGAATGTATGACAATATTTTATAACGTAAAGAGCTTATTAAACCCCCCAAATCGGTCGGCAGAACCGAACTCGACAGTCAAAATTTTGATAAATGTGTTGAGGTTTATAAAGTCTGTAAATTTGAAAATATTCTTCTTGTATTCTTTCGTGGTTGCAATATGTTTCTTTCGAAATTTTTCTCAAAATCAGTTGCTTAGACAAAGTAGCCATAATTTGTCAAATTATACAAGTAACTTCAGTAATCATTATATCTACGTCTATCTAGCTTAGTCTCGTCTGCATAATTTGACACAACTTGGAAGTTAAGATATAATTGAGTATGAGTACCTAATGATGGAGTGTTGATGATATTTTTTACAATTTATTATTATACAGGGTGATTCATGGTTGATGAAAAATTCAGACATGTTTGATTTGATTTGAGTTTAAACGCATATGATCTTCTTCTTGTGAGAGCAAGATGATGACGATGAGAAATTGATGTTTCACTGTTCTGTTGACTCTGAAATCATCATCTGTACTATTGATCGTTTCAGTTTGTTTCAGCTTGGTTTTTCCTCTTCAAACATCATACTCCTATGATCCAATGGGTGACTTCCCATTGGTACTTTTAAATACTCTTGAAGCCTGGATGCATTATTCCAGGATTTCTTCTGCCCTTTCTGGTTCCAATTATTGAAATGAAGAGTTCTCAATTACGAAATGACATTACTAATTTTTGCCTGAGATGTTTGTCGTTGACTCTATTTTTCGTATACTACAATCAAAGTAACGTTTGACTTTTCGCCTGGCTATTATCAAGACCATCCCGGATCAATATAGTAACCTTCTGACCTGCTGATTGGTGTTTAGTTTCGGAGATATTGAAATTACCAAGAGGGCGATTTTCTTTCATCTTTTCAGACTTGGTGATAGCTACAATACATACAAAATTTCCCTTCTTAGTAGTTATTTTTGTCATTTTTCAAAAATTTATTTTGAGTTATCGACTGAGAAATATTGAGCTGAGAAGTTAAATTCGAAAATGAAAATACAGTTTTGTTTCCAGAAGAGTTTTGTTTTGTTTAGTGCAGGACTTCTGTCAAATAACATTTTGGATGGATTGTTGACTATAGGTAGGCAATCGAATTTATTTCTGATACCTTGATACTTTTGAAGAAGTCGAGAAGTATATATTATTTTGAAATTCAACGTCAATGGATTTATGTAGGAAAATTATAGAAACTCATTCAATTGAAAAATACATTTGCTTTGATTGTTGTAGACTCTAGTTGGTAACTTACCAAAATAATGTTTCGTTTGATCAGAATGACTGAAATTATTTTTATGTCAGTATAAAATGGGGAACAGTGGAGGTCAAATTCAAAACATCTAACACTTTTATCAACCATAAATCATCAGTTACGTTCGTATAGTACAGTCATATTTTTGTATGTTCTAATGTGTCCGATAATGTTTGAAATGTGAAGATTCGGACTTCTAGTTCTCCCTGGAAGATATCTGAAAAGAACTTCTATAGGAATGTTTCTTTTTTGATTTTGAAAATCTTCATTTATTTCGTTTTAAAGACGTACCAAGCAGTTGGATTCGAGTTTATAGACCTTTAATGGAAGTTCGAAACTTCAGCAATTCATTATGAATAGTGTTTACAGCTAGGAAGTTTGTGATTGTGCTAAAATTATGCACATGCAATCGGTCCCTGTGAATAACATCTCATTTAATCGAAAATTGTGCATGCATATTGTATGGGGAGTAATGACATGTCACTCACAAATGAGAATGCAGGTTGAATAATATTTTACCTAAAATATCTTGGAGACCTTGGAAATTATCGAGCATTTTGTAAATTGAATTGGGAATTGTTCTAAAACCCGTTATTTACTATTATATTTTCTGTTATGTATTAGATGCGTCATAATCTAGACAAGAAGAGTTTTGCTGAGTTATTAGATATATTTACAACTCAATCACTAAGTTCCATCTTCCTTTTTGACGATATAAATAAAATTCTAGGTATATTTCTTCCACGCTCGTGAATGTGCTGACAGTGAGACGACAAAAGTCCTCAGAAAGATGTACAAAGGTATATAATTATTTGTTGAAACGTATTCCTATCGGTGATGAAATATCATATAAAATCATCATCTTTTTTGCGTGTTTTTACCTTCCACAATCTGGAAAAATGAAAATTCATAACGGGGAACTTTATCAGGTGCAGAAAGGGCAAACTTTTTAGCTCATTCCGAAACTTCACAGTATTTTGTACAAAAGTTATTGTTATATTTTACAGGTACTTGTCGTATTTAATAACTAAAAAGAAGGTAGGATATCATACATAATTTGAAAAATCTAATGATACTTGCGTGTTTCTTTGGTTCGCTTCATTTTTAAGTGTCCTTGACAAATGTCAAAGGAGTTTTCAAGAGTGAAATATGCCAATGTTAATATCAGTCTGTTGTTAGTTATAAAATGCTTAGCCAAGTAAGATCCATTTCTGAGGAACTGTTCGAAATACACTCCTCTCCAGAAATAAGAATATACGCTGATTCTTTGAGCTTATGTCTCTTAGAGTGTGGTTCATTGGCAATCATCCTTGTCTTGTTCCATTCAACTCGATGTTCACCGTCTGATTTCAAAATGTGCTCTGACAATTTTCATCCCGTTAATTGTCTATTCTGATCTAATCTCGATGTTCACTCCCACGCACTTTCAATGGTCTTGAAGTTTCACCAATATAACTCTTACCAAAGAACAAGGTATAAAGTTCTCCATTATATTCTACGCTTTCACCGTGGGAGCATATCGATGTGCTCGTGGGTACCGTTTATATATGGCAATCGAAGACATTAGGAAATTCGTCGGAATTCCATCGAACCCGATAGCAACGCCACTTCCAGAACGGTCACGAGCGCAAGTCGAGTTGAGCCCGTCACAATTGATTTATGTAAACCAGCGGCGGCCGGTTGTTATTTGTTTTAGGGGATGATTTGCAACAATATATTTTAACTTTTTCCTATTGTGGAAGGTGAAAATATTCAAAGAAGCAATAAAAAATATTTTTCGTTTAATATACTTCTATCATATTGGCAAGCTTCATTCTCCAAAAGAGCACTTACTATTCTATGTTTACTATGTGTAAGCATTGTATTTTTCCCAAGGGTTCTTTCATTATGTTTTATTTATATCTCTTACAAGTTGTATGCTCGTCTAGGTTACGTTACGAAAAAAATTAGGACTATTCCGGACAATTCAACTTCGATCACACCAAAATCAACATGAATCATGGCTGGTTGGAGTTATTGAATTGAGAGCCATAGTTTTTGAGGTATGTCATTTGGTTACCATACAATACTCACCTAGAAGAATCAAAAGACAAACTACAACGGCCAAAATGAAGTCCTTGGACGGCATAATGGCTCCAGCTGAGGCTAACTCTAATTCACAGTGGCCTCCCGTATAGCCTAGAGGGCAAATACACTCATATCTCAACGGAGGTTCATAGTCCCTACAGATGCCTCCGTTAATGCACGGCAACCACATGCATTCATTCTCATTGACACATGTATTGTCACGGAATTTGTAACCTTGGGGACATCTAAATTAGGTACAGAAAATAATTAGCTACTTACTCACCCAAGCCAAGAGGATTTATCTGGTTGCTTTGGCACTGAATCTTAACATGGGAAAATGGAAAATAAATCTAACTACTAGCTTTCGACTCTAACAAGCAAGCGTGAGAAGTTAATCAGCAAGCACGTTGTATGATTGTTTGAAGTAAATATGTAAGGGTTTCAACAATATACGAACATTCAAGGGTGCAAAGGTACATAAAGATTTATTGTTTCGTATCATTATTTTCTTCATTTAGGAACACCCTGTATATTGGAGATATCACAAGTAGTCATGAGAAGGCTCAATAAGAGTGGGAACTATTTTGAAGTTTGTTGTTGTATTCAATCATAATCTTGGGTTCTGAAAAGAACACATCCAACTAGTCTGAGTATGTGTGAAGCCTAAACTTCTCTGGACCATTATTATTATCATTTCTGAAAAGTGATTTGCTTCATTGCATCTTCAAATATATTACGTTTATTTCTTTCAAGGACGAAACACAAGCACTACAGAAACATCCTTGGGACGCTTTAAGAGCGGTGCCTGTACGAAAGTAGCAATTCACGTTGTATTTGAATCAATGGAGATTGAATTCATTTGAGAAAACTTTATTGGGAAGCTTATTTTACATAAACGCAGTTCTCCAAATGAAAGAGTTCTTAAACAGTGGAGTTCGAGGTGTACTGAGTTGAACCTCAAGACGATGAGCTGGCACAGTCTGTCGCGTATTTCTCATATGTACCGCACTTGGTGGAATCAAATGTGTCAAGTCACTTGAACACCTCCCGTGGGAGTATCTGTAAGAAAAAGACAAATCTCCAACCTTTCTTCAGTGTTCCAGACTATCTAGACTATCACGGTTGCAAGTGATGTTCGTGTCTCCAATCAGTCGGATGGCTTTTTTCTGGATGGAATCCATTAGTTTCAGGGTATGCTTAGGCACGGAACAATACATGTGAACAATACTTCAAAGAGGGTCTGATCTGAGCTTTATAAAGTATGAAAAGTTGCTGAGGTTTTTACGGTTTTCTGGTTCAGAATAGTGTTCCAAGCTTTTGAGAAACAGCCTTTGCAATTCCAGCGACATAATTGTGCCAAGACATATTGGTGTCCATTTTAAACCCCAACAAACTTTTCGAAACAGAAAGCGGAGTTGTCTGTCCTGACATTATTATATCCCGTTCGGAAACATTTATCTTCTTGGATAAAACTGATGCTTGGGTTTTTGAGGCATTGAATTGAACCTGGTTACTTCCACCCCAATTCAAAATCACTTCTAGATATGCAACCTCCTGCAGCCGGTGAAGATGTGCATCCGCAGTCGATGACCTGGAGCCCAAATGGAATGACGAGACAAGTAAAATTCATTGAATAAAAAAACGGGTCTTTGTTCGCAATAAAAAAGCTTATGATTTTGCCTAAGATCTAGTTTATGGTACAAATTAAACTTTGGATGAATACTCAAAGAGTGAATATGGAAACAATACATTGAAAAATATGGATGTTTATCAGGTTTCCAGAAAGCTTTTTTTTCCAATTTCCATGATTACGACTGCTACCAACTGAAAATTGATATTGATTCAAAATATTTGTGGGCTCTAACTAGACCTTCTTTAGACTACTCGTAATTGTGAATCAAAATTGATGTCTATCCAATTTCATCATCCATAAATTCATCTTTTTATACAACCGACAGTGCCTCCGCTTCTAAAATCTCAATCGGAGAATCTGTTGACAAGCACGTAATCGAAAAACCATTAGCATAATTCAATTGATGATGAAATAATGGATTATTCCTTTAATTTACGTCAAACAGTATACTTCATTTTAGCGCATTTTCCTGAAATATGATTCTAAACATGCAAATGCAGATGCAATCAAATGGTTTATCGAAAACAGTATAAACCACTTGACATCTACCGTCGATTCCAAAGATAATTTTCTCACTTAATATGATGAGCAAGCAGACCAATATGGCCGCCAGCGCACCCATGCTGAGTTTAAGCGTTTGCCCTTCTTGGATCAGTTCGCAATTCTCTCCCCAGAACCCATCGGGGCAAGTGCAACGATATCGTTGTTTCGGTTCCAGATTGATGCAAGCACCGCCATTAAGACACGGCAAGTCGAGACACTCGTCCTTATCCATGCAGTCCTTGCCGTCAGGGGACATTATACGCCCCTCTCCACAACTATATACAGGCAGGCAATATAATCAGCATGCAAAGGCGAGAAGATAGTAAACGGATTATTATTACTCAGTTTTAGTTGAGAACAGTTTTCGAAATTATATGAATAGTGAAAAATCATCCAGTTATTTTTTTTAGAGACATAATAATTATTATCCAGAAAAGAGATCAAATCTGGACGAAGAGAAGAAAAGGAAAAAATAAGGATTCGAAATAAAAGTAGCAGATGATTGGAACCTTTGAAAAATACATGAATAATCATAAATATTTATACTGATTCTTGGTTTATAAGTCGAGTAGAAACACAAATTTTGAAATTGGTTTGATTCTATAGTAGTACATACTTTGCTGACGTAAAAATAAAGAAAACTAAAGAAAATAAGACAAAATAATCAACTAGTTCATTTAAGAAGCCAAAAGTTCACTTCTTGGTGGGGCTTTTTGTTCATTACAGTACCACGAATATCCCAGAAATCGAAAACAGAAAGAAACATGATAATTCACCAGAACCGTTTATTTATATTACAATGTTCTTCAATCAGCAAATTTGTTCTATCTCATAGACAGAAAATTTGTCACTCACGTGTGACGTAAAATTTGTTATCTCTAATACTTTAATATTTTCTTCAAACATCAACTTTATCTGTCTTTCATTTCTTTTCCAATAGATTCAATAGATTCAAAAAACTTTTTGTACCTGTAAATAACGAATAGCATCATGTCTAAGAATAGTTGTTATTTTTTTATTCATGTTACTATTTTGTGAGTAATTTATCTACAAAACTGAATCAAACAGCTACATTACATCACTCAAAAAACAAAGGAAAATGGAGAAAAAACTCAGTGCCTTTGCAAAAGAAATAGGTTAAATTTGGCACGAACTTATCTCAACGTCATTTTTCGATAGAAATTCGAATATTCATTGAGATAAATTCGAGTAAAAAATGTTGGAATAATAAAAATCATTAAATATAATATTGACGCCGTTGATGGAAAATAAAATAACAATGTATGGAAACGAAAATAGTGAGCATGTTGATTGTTGTTGAAGTACCGTTTTCTTCAACGATTTTTTAGAGATATCCTGACCATTTCAAAAGCAATATTCTGGTATCTAATTCACTGTTCATCACTATTTGAATAGCTCATTTCTGTGAGAGATCTTAAAGGCATATATGAACAAGCTTCCGGATTGTATCATAGAAAGTTACTGCAAATATATTACACTTTGTTGCAACTAGCAGCTGATAATCAGTGTATACCTTTCATTACTTGCCATTACTAAGTAATTTATGGAAATTACTATCGTTGAGGATAGGAGACTACTGTTTGAAACCTTTGTTCATAAGATAACTCGCTCATGAAAGATATTTTGTTGGAAAATATTATACTATAAAGAAAATTATCACCCTCAACTAATTTCCATTAAGTGAATGGTCAAAACGTGATAGGATTTGTGAAAAATCTACAAGTTAAACTAGTCGAAGGTATATCCAAGTACATTTATTTTAGTAAACTTTGACTGAGAGGCTCAAAAGGGATTATTGTAAATAAAATCACTATTCTTTCATTTATTACATGGTGTAAATACAAACAAATTTTAACACAATTTCGAATGCTCCTATTTTCTTCTCTTATCTTGTGCTCATAAAAGGTAATCTTTATGTTTCATGTAACACTCCATGAGTGATATAAAACTCTCTTCATGATGATTCTGCAAGATCGCTAATCCTTCACGAATTCAACTGTGTACAATTTTCAATATTTTTCTAATTGTTTTAGTCAATTCGAATTTGAACTTTTTGATATATGAACACCCTATCCGATATTTCACGCCGAACATTTTCGAACACAGTAACGTCAAAATCTCTACAAATATTTACTATTCTCTGCCATATATCCAATATTGAAGCAGGTTCATTTTCGTACACCTTCTACTTCAAATAGCCCCATAAAAAAATGTCCAAAGGTGTCAAATCTGGTGAGCGGGCTGGCTATTCTGTAGGACATCGACGGCCAATCCAACGACCGGAAAAAGTAGTATCCAATTAGTTTCTTACTTATCTGGATTGATGTGGTGGTGCTCCGTCTTGTTGGAATATAATATCCATATCGAATTCATTAGGATTCGCTTTGACGATTTCAGTGATGTGAAGGTCAATAGTAGTTTCCAGCAGATCCCCTGTTGAATTTTGACCAATGAATAGAGGTTCTACAATATGGTTTCTCAAAATTCCTTCCCAAATGTTAATTTTTTCTGGATATTGGGTATGCGTTTCCCGGAAAACGTGAGAGTTGGTGTCACTCCAATAACGGCAATTTTGTCTGTGAACAATGCCGTTGAAAAATGGACATTCGTCATTAAGATAAATAATGTGGAGATAGGAAGGATGCCTTGCAATGGTTTCCGTCATGATCGCGCAGAATTCTGTTCTTCGATCAGGGTCATCTTCAGTTATTTGGTGTACCATTTTAATTTTGTATGGATGATACCTATTCCTCTTCAAAAGTCTCCACACATTAGAAGGAGACACCTCACAAACATTCGCGAAGGAATAAGTAGACTATTCAGGATTCACTTCCATCTCATCAATCATTTGCACCTGCTGTGTTTCCGGAATGGACGGATGATCTGGGGGCTTTTTGTTATGTACACTACACTATACAAGTTTCCTCAAATATTTTCTACAGATAGGACGATTCGGAAAACTTTCATTGAAAATCCTTTCGGTCTCGTGGAAGTTACGGGTCGCACCGTAAATAAACATCGCTTAAATTTTTTCTTCTAATGGACGAGAATTGACCATTTTAGACATTGTTGACGTGGTACCATTCTACTAGTAAAACCGAACATTAAATGAGAATATTTTAACTGAACAATTATGTTCATTGTCGTACTGACATTTTTTGTCATTTTTACAAACAAAAAGATAAAAAGGAATATTTCTAGAAATATCGATATTAATGTGTTTGTCTTCAGGAAATTATAAAATGTTCCGCCATTTTGTAGTAGGTGAAGATATTGACTTCATATTCCAGGGTTTTATTGGAAGTTTTATACGTCAATTTTACTGCAAAATAAAGTATTAATACCAAATTTCAATTTCTTGAGTTGATCCGTTCAATAAATAAAATGGGGGGGACATTAAAGAAATGCACTGTATGAACCGCATTGAATCAAGTGGCGGAATAAGATGGAGTGTCAAATTTGATCAAGTTGAAAGTATGTTCAATGAGATACTATACAGTGCGAACAAAAAAAAACTTGTCTTGACTTTTGAACACAACAAGACAAAATGTACGTAAAGAGGTATCATTTTTTGAATTTTTTGATAAGAAAGACAGTATTGTTCCATCACCTGAGAAGACACTACCTAATTATTTTTTCAAATAAAAATAGAGGTGTTGTAACAATTCGTTTGATGGGCATTTCAATTCTCTATCCATTATTTTTGTATTGTTGTAAATCGAATTAGCCGTTCCCGAAAAGCTAGCCCTACATGTTTAGTTTCAATTAGAATGTGTGGCTGATTACTTTGCTCGTTTTTTCCTTTTAAACGAAACGTCAACTATTTTTGTATCAAGTTACAAAACAATAGCAAAGTTCAATAAGTAAGAAACATATTTTTGTGATGTGTTCAGTATAGTGTTTTATCTGTCTAAATTTTATTCATTTGTCCAGGTTGTAACTAATTCTGTTCAAAATTATATACCAAACCGGCTTTAATGAGTATCTCAGAAACTTTCAACTCAATATTGACTTGTTACAACATATCGGGAAAGTCAAACAGAATGATTTAATTGACCCAAATTTGTATTTACGTACGTGCACTCGTAGTCGTTCCAAAGATCCACACATTCGAATGGATCAGGGCAAATAACGTTCGCACAGGGCTTATTCGAAGGACAGCCTCTCTCCAAATTTCTGGCCATGGTCGCCTGCCCCCACTGAGTTCCGTTCATAGCTGGCGGTAACGGTAGATGTTTGCCTTCCAGTCGAATATCGTCCAGGCATCCTGATAGGTAACGCGTAATGTAAATGTTTGAGTTTGAACTAATTTTGTTTTGCTATCGATATTGGATCTTTGATTGTATCGAGCGAATAGAAAACTAACCTCAGTCAGTGCGATAATAGATGTGTTATTTGTGAAGGTTATATTGAGAGGACTGGCAGCCTCCTAGAAAAAGTTAATGAGAAAACTTAAGGTGGTATCATTGCCTGAAGCAAGACAGCTGCACCCCCTAACGGACTTTCTGTTCGCCATGTACAGGAGGAAACTGGCCAAATACGCTCGACTGAGAAACAACGGCCATGTAAATTAAAGAAGAAGAAGCTAACTCCAGGGTGTCGATTTTTCGTGACGGTTATGTATACTAACTTCAAAAAAGGGTACATATAATAATGTACCTTTCTAAAAGGAGAATAATGAAGAAATCAAACACATTTTTTATTTCTATTCAACAATATGGATTAGCATACAAAATGTTTTTGTAAGAAGATTTCTACGCCACCAGAGTAGACAGAAATATAAACTGGATATTTTGCAAAATGAAGTAAGTTGGCACTGATATTACAAACACTGTCATTGTTGAAATCACTTATTTGAGATTAGTTACAATGCCTTTTTCTCTGAAAACTGAGCTTTCCATAACAATGTGATTTCAAAACAATCCACTGAGACTATTCGCCTTCACTAGTTCACTTCTGATGAAATACATAAAATTTCGAATAAACACTATGCAGTTTTGAAATATACGACGTAGAAACGAACCGAATGTTTCAAAACATCGTTGAATCAATTAGGAAGACCTTGCAAAGGGTCTATAGCATCTCATACCTGCATCTCAACTCCAATACAAGTCTTATCCAGTGATATTATGGAACTTATGTCAAAGGATTACTGGTACTGAGGCCTTATCAGATGTCGCCAAGTGAGCCTCCGGAATGCCAGATGACCTGTCAGAGTACTGGTCCTTGCATCCATGCAAGGGACTGCATGTTTGGACATTTTTCCTCATTCTCGTGACAATTGAACACCCCAAAAGTGTACAAAAAAGGGGGACCCTACTCTACTTGCAATGTGTGTGGTATATGCTTATCTGCAACATGTGCCATGACTGGCAGTTCTATCGAAGCTTATTTAAAAGTTAGATATTTTTCTCATACAAGAACCCTATGTCTACATACTGAAAATCATAGATTGGGAGATTATTTTAGGGAAGTTAATTTATAATAGAACTGCATAGACTCCAAGAACATATACAATCATCTGAATGACTTCAACTGTACAACCGTTGAGTAAATTTGTATCATAATTTTGACAACGGCCAAATTGAAGATAACTGGTGAGAGATGAAATGAGGAAATTGATATTGGATTCCCTTACGATAATCCGGAATCACCAGCAACCAGGGATCTGGAGGAGCTAATGAGATCATGCTGGGCAGGCATATATTAGCTCATAACTGTTTACCAATGGCTATCGTCTCACCTGGTGCAGCTCTTTCGTCACCAAAAGAGGTGGGCATTCACTAAAGTTAAAATCACGAACAAATTAGTCAACTTAAATGTATCTAATGAACCCACATTTGAAAATACGAGACATTGAGTAGTAATAGTCTCAATTTCAGATACTACATATATGAGTGAGTAACTATGTTGAGAAATGGAAAGTGAGTGTGATGGGAAATTTTGGTCGGGTTATCGACATAAGCACTTTGAGATCAAGGGATTTGATACCATGATCGTATCTTTTTCCAAATCCCCAGTAAATCGAACTGAATAGTATATATGGCGAACCTGAAAACTTGCTCTGACTGGGTAGGTTTTGAAATATTTTAAAGACTTAGAATTGGCAGTAAACCGATTACTGGAGGTTGATATCCCTACGTACAATGAACATTGTTCCATAAAAAGATATCAATTTCATTAGTTATAAAATACAACTAGACATCTGATCAAACCGACATTTAACGAATCTAGCTGATACTGGTGGAATTATTGAGGAAAATAACTTCGAGGAAATAATTTTTGTACATTCTAAGAGGATAGTGATACTAATATATGGTTTAATCCATCATGATGATGAATAATAAAATATAAGTTTTACCTTTCTGATAATCCGCGTACACTTCGAAGGTTCTTACACCTGTGTACTCAGCTTTCCCTCCGGCGTAAACTCCTTCCTGTTTATCAACCAGTAACCACTGATGACCGGAAAAGTTGAATGTTTCGTTGTATCTTCTTCCTTCTCCGCCGTCCAGTTCCAAAGTTGCAGCGGACCCGTATCTGCTCACTCGAGCCACATGCCACTGGCCATCATCAACTGGCACAGCACTGAGCCAAATATCTTTTTCTTCAGTTCGGAGCGAATTCAAATTATATCTGAAGTATAGACGCGAGTCTTTTATCTCTAGTATTGCATATTCACGGTTGTGTTGATCCGATACCCTGAAGAGTTCGCCATGTTCCTCCCTTGTTCTGAAACGTAGCTGCATTTGCGTGGAGAATCGGTCAGGTTCGAAGCTGAGCGCATATTTGACGTATGATTGAGGTTTGAAAGACGTAGGGATGGTGGGAATAGTACAAGCAGGGCCAGTGAAACCCGGTCGACATTGACACTTGGCTTCGTTGAAACTTCCAACACAAGTTCCATGTTCCCAACATCTGGACGTGGTATCGGAGCGTCCGCACATTTCTTCTGTTTGGGGACAGCCGGGCACGCTGTGTCTGGAGAGACCGGGGTGGGCTAAATCGTACAACCTAGAGTTATGGAACAAGTTGCGAATGCAACCATCGAAGGATTTGCCCACCGGCATGTACTGCCAATGATAATGAGTGGGGTCGAACTGTTCTACGTATAAACCACCGAGCTGCAGAGGAGCGTTGACATTCAAATACTCGTTGAAAGGTGGAATGGTTCCTTGAGCTTGGCAACTACTGTCATCGAATTCCGGAGGCGTTCCGTCTTCCATCTCTGATATCTCGGCCGACTTGCAGTAGTCCACAACCATTCTGACATTCTCCGTATCCCAGAATATGTCCAACCTGTGCCATTCTCCGTCGTCGAGGGTCTTTTTAGTTTTGACTCGCAGTTCCAGGGTTCCTGACCCGAAATCTAGGAGCAGCCGGGGATAACCTCGCTCTAATTCGACGGCTATGTAGTCTGAAACCATCACTTCGTCTTTCTCGGGAGGTACGATAGGTCCGTTGTACAGCAACAAACCGTCAGGCTTCCGGGTGATGAATTCGAAGTGTAAGTGGGATTTGTCGCACATTTCCAACGAGGGATACCATGCCCAACCATTACCCCGGAAGCTGCGGGACGTTTGCTGGCATCGAGGGCCGTTATAACCAGCTGGACACGAGCAAGTGAGAGAGTAACGAGTTTCGATGCATCTTCCGCCGTTGTAACACGGCGTGTTACGACAGTTTTCTTCCTTGCTGAAGTTTCTAGCGCCGCACGTACACTCCGCTAAGACATCTACCCTGACGCCAACTAGAGCGGTTTTGTTCGCGTTCACCATATAAGGCAAAGCACTGATGTCGAGGGTGTTGGTACAAGATCCTTCGCACATCTGATTCTCATACAGACACTCGTCGATTCCGACCATTGTGATGTTTATTCCCACTGCTCTCTCGATTTCTTCTCGATGCATCAGCACCATTCCGTTCAACCGCACTGGTTTGTAGTAAGGCGATCCGTGAGCTGCGAATCTCACGTCGGTAACGGGAGGATGTTTTCTGCGGAGCTGGACGCTGAAAACGTCCACGTTCTCTCGGTTGATGTTGAGCAGGTCTGCGATTTTGTCTCGGAACTTTTCGGACATACTCTTTGATAAACTTTGCGAATGATAATCCCAGATCCTGATGAACTCTTCGTCCGTGATGTCCGCTATCCTGACCGAACCCGAGTTTACAACAGCTTCGTGAGGAATTTCTTTGACGGTGACTGTGACATTAGCGGGAACGTCGGTTTGAGTGTGTTTCCTGTCATAAACTTTGAATTTCAAGTTGTATGTGCCGTCTCTCGTCCCGTGTCTCATGGAAATCATGCCTGTGTCTTCATTCAATTTGAATCGTGGGTGCTCCATACCTTCCCAGTAGAATTTCTTATCTGGTAAATCCCAGTCGTCCAGATCGTATACGTACACTCGACCGATTTCAGTTTCAGGAGCTTGACCTTGGTAGTTGTATACAAATATTTCCTTCGATCCGGGTTGCATTTTATTGTCGTTCACATCGCCGATCACCACAGTTAAAGTACTGGTGCCTGTCATAGCTGGATTTCCATGGTCTTTTATCACAATAGGTATGTAGTACTCCTTTTGCTGCTCTCGATCAAAAGATCTCAAAGACGTTATGATGGCCATACCGTCACCGTTTGCACCCTCTGTAAAATAAAGTGATACATTTCAGAAGTAATAATGATAATAATAAGCTTTATTGCCAGTAAAATGAATCTTATTGACGATGCATGTGTGAATAAGATATAAATGTATACAAGCATATACTAAGACTATATAACTTATAACCGATAAAAATATTTATAAAGAAAAGTGTTAGTAAAAGTTGTCATCAAATTCATCCAAACTATAATACGGTCTCTCAGATAGTAAAACTATGATTACTTTTCTAAATTCTGAGGGGTTTTGTATACATTTAACGTCGTTTGGCAGGTGGTTGAATATTTTTAGGCCATTGTGAATTACTAAGCTTTTAGTAAGTGTCGAGGTAGATATAGGCAGTGAGGTGGATATAGGTAGTCTGAAATCGTCAGTTTGACTAGTGGAATAGTTAGAGAAGACCAAAAAAAATTCATCTCTATGCTTGTTTATAAAAATTGCCGTTTCTAATATGAAGTTGAGCTTCAGGGGTTGATAATATTTCAATCAGAATGTTGAAACTTTGTAGCCTGTTTATAGTACACATATCATCAATTGTTGTTTTGAACGTTCATATTTTCCAGACCTGTGAAAAATTGCCGTTGGGACAAATGATGAATATTTCAATACCAATTATATATTATCACCATCGCAATGTGCATAAAACACATTCTACATTTGCATGAAACTCAAATATTACGGTTTTGATAGTGCTGCCTCATTTCTCATGTGGTCTTATTTACTTGGTCGATCTCAAAAAGTTATTGTTGATGAGCAATAACTGTGGTACTCCTGATATTTCTATCAGGAGTACCACAGGGTTTCATTTTGGGACCTTTATTGTACATCATTTATACTACTGACATTATCTCGTCCATCAAGAAATGTTAAATACAGGTGTATGCTGATGACGTACAATTATACATGCACTTTGAAATCGATAAGTATGCTGAGGCACAAAATCTTTTCAACACTGATTTCGATTTGATCAAGTGAACATGATTTGAAAGTTAATCCTAATAAAACAATGATGATGCATTTTGGATCGCAGAAGAATCGTAAATTTGCAGGAAACAATTTCCATTCAGAACTAGGTCATACTATCTTGACTTCTGTCAATACAGCTAAAAACTAAGAGGTGATGCTTGACACTGATCTTAGATTCACTAGTCATGTTAAAAATTTACTGAAAAAAGCTTATATGTCATTGTAACTGTTATTTCATTTTGAGCCAACCTCTAAAAAAGAATGCTCTGTGATAGTTTGGTGTTAAGCCATTTCAATTACTGTGACTTCATATATAGGCCATACTTATATAATTCACACAAAAAAGAAAATACAAAAAGTGCAAAACTCTTGTTGTCGCCTACTTCATGGACTTTGTTTGTAAGTATGATTCGAATTCTTAAGCCTTTAAAAACTCCCGCTGGCTCAATATGAGAAACCGTATGAATCATCATTTGGGTTGTTTTGTTCATAAATTGATTANAATTAGTGATCATTTCATATTTTTATTGTTCCTACGACCGTAATCATTATATACCTTGATTGATTTTTGTTCTGCTCCCAGAATGGAAATTGGAATTGTTGAAATATGTAATTTGCACAGATATAAAATGATGGACATCTTCAATTACGTACCACGAATAAGGATCAGTTTAAACAACTGAAGTTTCTTTGGTTTTGATGTATTTATAATCGCTAAAGACTGGATAATTTGAAGAATTTTTGATGATATATTCAAATATGAGAAAACTTATTCAAGCGCTCAGTCTGGCACAGACACAGATACGAGGCGAATTGAATGGCATAATTGAAAATGAACATATACGAAGGTAACCAACCACTCATTATTAACAACATAACCGCAATTTTCCTCTATTCAGCATAATTCTGAATCAGTGAACGATTTTATGTGAAAATCTGTTATTTAGTGATGAACCTGAATGGCAAATATGTTATGCAAATATTGGATAATGAATTCGAAGCGAATTCGTATTCCTATTCAAATACTTCTGAAGTTTGCTTGTGTTTTGTATACATGCTTCGATACCTGTATACCTGTTGTATTCATGCTTCGATTGTGTAATTGAATTGTTGTCTCTACATCGTTGAAATGGACTTTATCTCAAAACAGTTTTTTTTAATTAATATCGAATTATTTACTTAATTCTAATAATATATAAAATTCTCGTGTCACAATGTTAGTTGCTATACTTTTCAGAAACGGATTAACGAATTATCATGAAACATTTTATGCATATTCGGTAGATCTGAGATTAGGTTCAAATCTATTTTTGTTACCCCTGAGTGATATGGGTGCTCCACTCCAAACATTTTTCTATTTTTTGGACAAGATGTTCTGTTTTTTATGGTCCTTCTCACCATCAGCACGGAGTAGGGATGAGAAAGAAGCCGGTCTTATGTTTATCTCACACAATAAATCTTCCCCCACTCCCTATACAGTTTTCGGCCACTATCAGCGTATATACAGTGTGCGATGCCACCGAAGCTTTGAGTTATGCAACAAAGTATTGGAACTCATTGGGTTTGCCAGGTATGCCACCGCATAATCTACAACTGAAGGTTGGATCGCTCCGTGATTTGAATCCACAACGGCTGTGCAACAGCACACGATTAGATAATAATACCACGAATCCCTATTATGCCTACAGATGCGCCAATTAATTTTGAACGTGTGCAATTTCCAATTAGATTGTATATTGACAGTTGCGGTTATGAATATATCGACATTGTAACTATTATATATTATCATCATATATAAGTATTAAACTGAATACACTTAATTTCATTATGTAGTTAGGCCAATCAGCCTGTTTGGATGATTGAATAAATCAACAATTTGAATTCTGTTTAAAAGTTTTTTAAATAACTTTAACAGTTTCCAACATTTGTATTTTTTTGTCTTTCTTGATTTTCAGTGTTATTTACTCCATTACAGTCAATATTATTTCAGTCCCATCCTCATTAGAATAGAAAGGAATCAGGAGGAAAAAGAAATGTTTTTGGATTTGTTAAGACGCTTTTATTAGCTTTACTTGTATCTTTGTTTGTAACCGACTCCTTTGGACTCGATTTTGACTAACTTTAAACGGACAGATTTATTTTGAACTTTGTACACTTATCAATAATCGGTGACGATACAATAATTTCATAGATTTATTTATTTATTATCCTGATTAGGATCGCCAGGATTATATAATTTCCTCACATAGTCCCTGTGTGAGAGCCAGTAAGACAACCAGTGTCTGTGCTTGCGCACCTATAGATTTTATATTAGAACAAATGTGCTTGAAATGGTAAGACAAACTAAAAAGTGGAAAACAAATAATGGTTTGAAAAACTAAAAAAACACGCTTTTATAGCAACACAAACGAAAAAAATAAAAAATGATTCGAAACTAATTTAAGATTGTGTTCATCATCGATAAGTCCTATGGATGGATGTAACTAATGACTTTTAATGAGTCTAAAATCAGAATAAATCTATTTCCAAAAAAAATCAATTTTGCTGTAAGAAAGCGTGGGGTGCTAAATATCCATTGTTATAAATACTTGGTTAGGAGCTGTTGGCCAGATTGGAGTCATAATAAAAATATAATTTAGAGCATCCCAGGCCTTTTTTACAATGAAATAATTTTTTTGTGAATAGATTTATTCTGATTTCAGACTTATTAAAAGTCATTAGTTACATCAAGCCACAGGACTTGAACACAATTTCAAATTAGTTTTGAATTATTTTTTTGTTTGATTTGTGTTGCTATTAAAACGTATTCTTTTAGTTTTCCAAACTATTATTTTATTTCGAGAGTGGGTAATGAGACTTTGAATCGTGAAATGAATAAATTATCAAGAATTGTAAGAAATTCGCAAAGAACTTTGAATTCACAAATTAAAGGTAGTCCTGGAACCACAACAGGCATTTTTACCAAACAACAGGAACTCAATACTCTTCTTCGATCTCAACTTCAAAACAACTCCCGGTGTGAACAATCTAAAACCTATTCAAATCCTTTCTCATTGCTTTACAACCGTAATCCAATGTCTCAGATTTCTGCATAATTGCCATTTTCAAAGAATGAAAGTCCATTCACGGCCCCGACAAACTTCGAAAGAGAGAAAGTTTACTAATACAATTTAAACGCACCGAACGTGAGACCCTCCTTATCGCTTTCTTTTATAAATCGGATCTGTCGTTTCAAATGCGATTACACAGAGAGAGGAAGAGAGGTACATTTGAAACTGACAAGACCTGTAGTGAATGCTCCAAAATAAACAATCGAAATGAAACTCGATAAACTCACTTTGATCCTGTTCGACTTTAAAGGAAGCCCGTACGATGTCACTCGCACTGGGGTCGAGCCTGAATTGGAAAGGCGGACCGTTGCTCTTGGACCTGTCATCGTCATCCGTCGCCAATAATTCAACAACTTTTCTCGGCGGTACATGCTCCGGCACTACCGGTCTATAATCCTTGAGGAAAGTGGGCGCGTTGTCGTTGATGTCCTGTACAATCACAGTCAGAGTAGCGGTGGCAGTTTTCGGCGGAATCCCGTCGTCGATGGCGAGGATTTTCACTTGATGTCTCGGAGTGTCCTCCCGGTCCAGGGAGCGCTGTATGCTGACTGTACCCTCCTGGTTAATCGAGAACTGGCGCTTCCTGTCCGAACTCCTGTCGATGGCGTAAGAAACTTTGCTCTTGCCCCCTTGATCCGGATCGGTCGCTTTGAAAGTTTCCAAGCTTTTCCCGACCTCGGCGTTCTCGAATACAGAGACTTCGATGTTGGGACGTTCGAACTGGGGTTTATTATCGTTGATATCTCGCAGTCGCACGACTACCCACGAATAGGCGACGTGGTATTTATCGTTGTCATTATCCTCTCCCTTGTCGTTGACTTGTATCCTGAATCGGAAGCCATTACTCTGGAGTAGATCCTCGTAGTCGAGTGGCTGCACGATTTTCAGCGAGCCCGTACCGTCGTTGTTCCTAACCATAGTGAACTTATCTGCACCGTACCCGCTGTTTTCTATCACCTTGTACTGGAATTTATTCGTTTCATCTTCGTCGTGTACGGTGACGGTGAGAATGGGCATTTCGGGGAGGGTGGTGCCGTCTGTTTCATCCACTTCTGTGAACCACTCGTCTTTCGTGAATTGGGGCGGCATGTCGTTGATGTCTTTGACGCGAATCGAAGCCGTTCCAGTGCCCTTCAACCCTCCTCCATCCATCGCGACAACTTGAATCGAGTAGTCTGGAGTTCTTTCCCTATCCAAACAGCATACCGCAGTTTTTATAACGCCCGTTTCGGATTCAATCTCGAATATTGGCGATCCCGTTTCCTCCTCGATGACATTCTTCTCGATCGAATATACCAAACGGGCGTTGGTGCCTTCGGATGGATCGTCGTAATCGACGGCCGTCATAGTCATAACGACCATGCCGGCAGTGCCGTTTTCTGTAACGTTACCGAAGTAAACGCCTTGCGGGAATATGGGGGCATTGTCATTGATGTCTTTCAGGTTGACTTGCACGTCTGCGTATCCAACGAGTCCTTCTCCTCCTTCATCTTGGGCGAACACGGTGAACCTCCATTGAGGTCTGCCGTTGGGTTGATCGCGGTCCAGGGGCTGTAAGAAATGACAGAAACGTTATAATAGTATCTAATTTTTGTATCTGTTTTTAAAAAGTCATTTGATCAACATATTCTGGAAAAATAACAGTGTCGGTTGCAAGATTTTACAGAGAAAACAATGTGGAAGTTGTATTCATGTTAGCAACATTATCAACCCCAATCAACACGGTTTCGTGAAAGGACGTTCAACCATCACCAATCTTGTAACAATCACTCAACGTATTGCGGGGGGTATTGATTGTCAGTCTCAGACTGACGTCATCTACACTGATTATTCCAAAGCGTTCGACAGACTTGACCATAGTATCCTGCTCAACAAGCTTTCGACTTTGGGTTATCCGATGACTTAATTACTCTTTTCAAATCGTATTTTTACAACCGTAAGCAGTACATCCAACTAAATGGCCTCAAGTCTGTCGAATATGTAGCCACATTTGGTGTACCACAAGGATCAAACCTAGGACCCCTAATGTTCAATATGTTCAATAATGATATCGGAGCTGAGATTGATGTCAGTTTCCTTTTATACGCAGATGACTTGAAACTCTATCACAATATAACATGTGAATGATCGCGAACGTCTCACCCTGAATTTAAATCTTGTTGCTACATGGTGTGGGAAGAATAATCTATATCTCAACATATTCAAATGTACTGTAATGTCTTACTCATTGAAAACGAATTTGACATTACACAACTACGTCATAAACAATCAAGTTCTGGAGCGTCCTGACACACTCACTGATCTAGGTGTTACATTTGATTCATTTCTATCTTTCAATAAACATATTGACACTACTCTGGCAGCTGCTTATCGCATGTATGGATTCTTGGTTGAAAATACAAAGGACTTCGAAAAAGTTTCAACATTGAAATTACTTTATTTCACTTTTGTTCGATTTAGGCTGGAATATGCATCTGTTGTGTAGAGTTCATACTATCTGGTTCATATAAATCAACAAGAAGTCATACAGAGGCACTTCCTAAAATATATTTGTATGTCTTTTAAACTTGAAGGCACGTATCCTACTGTAGGAATACCCTATTATGAATTGCTTGAAACTCACAACTTTTGTAGTCTCGAGGTGAGGCGTAAATATTATTCATGATTTTTTTTATTTAAGGTCATGAACAATATCATTACCTGGTCTCAAGTGTTACATATGGTTGATGGTCATCTAGGAATAGTGTCACATTTTATCTCAACACTTCTCGTACAAAAATGAAGAAAAAAATCTCCAATTTATAAAATGTGCGATACCTCTAATTCTGTTAGTTTTGTCCTAGATATATTCAACTGCCAGATTATACAAATCAAAAGGCATTTGTTAGCTAACTGAAAGTTCTATTTTTGATTTTTTTTTATATAGATTCATAAATTATATTATGTAAGTTCATATTTGTGAATGCAGCTGTTTCTCTTTATTTTGTAATTGGGTTCATCCTGTAGAATAGTGTAAGGAATGAATAAAAAGAAAATTAAATAAATAAATGAAATAAGATGGAGAAATCTGGAGTTTATAGGCTCATGTGTCTGGAGTGTAATAGTGTATATGTGAGACATTGTGGCCAAAATTTTTCAAAATGGTAAGGTGAACATGAGAGATCCTTCAGACTAGGTAAAGATGATTCAATGTTCTCAAACCAAACCTTCGAATGCAACTACAAGTTACCGAATCTTAACGATACAGAGATTTTGCATTTTTCAAACAAGGGTTGGAAAAGCAATTATTTGGAATCATCGGAAATTCATAAGCATAAAGATTGCAGATGTAACCTTCTAAATGAGCAAATCGACCAGATTTGCGTACCCAAATTATTACAGGTAAACAAAATTCAGGTAATAAAGCCATTAAGGACCAAATGCAATAACGTTAGATACAAATACAAGTGGTATAAAAGCATGAAGAGTTTTATTTCTCATTTTTCGTAAACAGATTCTATTACTTTTACAGACACATAGATGTTATCTTAGTCTGTTCCACTAGTAGGTACAGGTAGGAAGTTGAGCAAGTTTGTTGAATTTGTCAATTCCATCAACCAATCATCACATCACCAATTCATCACTGACAGGGAGCTGAATGATTCAATACATTTTACAGACCTGACTATTCCTAAAATTATAATAATACAGCTCGAAATGGATAATTATATTCTTGAGTGAAAAGCCACCTAATATTACATCATATCATCATCCCAAAGAGAGACTGGATGTAAACTCGGTACAACAAACTAATTATATTCATCATAGCAGCAATTTACTCGACATAATCATCCTTGCACAGCTTGCCGCCTAATTTGATATCCAGTTTATTGCTTCTATTAGGAAATCCTAAGCCTCCAATAACCCTAGTTAAATACATAATTGTATCTACTCTTAGATTTGTGGTGATTAAATCAAACATCAGCCAATGACATACATATATCTTTTAAGAAAAACACTCAGGTTTTCAAACTCCCTTTTGAGCATATAATTTTTTAATTTACCCTCTTCACTTTCAAAAGAAGACAAACTTGAAATTGGTAAATTCAAACAGTAACCTACCTCTTACATTTCGACTGGCAGATTTTTGCATTGAAACATTAACGAAAGTTTAAAAATTAGAAAGAATCATTTTTACCTAATTCTCCATGTAATACCCGCTACAATTTGTCCTACCACAAGTGTAGGCTGTCGTTAGCAACGGTTAAAAAACTTTTTTAATTATAATTCTAAATCAAAAAGCTGAAAGGCATAGAAATATAAAGTTTTCAGTGAAAAGCTAAGAATTACAAAGACGTCCTTCGCAAAAGCAACGTAAGAGAATTATTAAAAGTATCGCGATACGGAACAGTAATCCATTTTCGTCTTTTACTTCTGTTGTATGTATTATGAGATTCTGAAAGACCATGCTGCTGATATTAATTAACCGAGAAAATTATTTCATTCAAGAAATCGGCAGTGAATAAGAAGAACATACAGTTTTACAACTGAAGTAAAATCTCATCTTCAACAGTATTCAACGTAATTAATTTCGGTGGCATATAATGGAAATTAAATTACTGAGAACGGATCGTGGGAATATTTCATATTCATGAATACAGTTTTTTGACGATAAAATGTACAATTCTTTGCAATTCAGTTCAGAACATATGAGAAAAGGCCTTTAAAAAAGTTTTTGTTAATCAAAAAATATTTTTGATCGTATAGTAAACAATGTCAATTTTCGTATAAAAATATCTGCCTATATCTAATGTAATCTATCAACCTACATGAGTTATATTCATACACTGGATAAAAAATATCACATGAAAATAGTTAATGAATAATTTAGAACACCGCAACCTTCTCAATCAGTCGAAACATTAGTAATGATTAGTAAAGCTATTTCAAATCATCTGAAAGGACAATTCGTTCAGTCCCATCTCAATTCACCTACACTGTAGGGAGTGTAGGGTAATGGACTGACACCTATCAGAAAACAACTACTCCCCTGACTAATACCACGAAGGGGGTTGGAATATATCCGACAGGTGTCAATGCAGGATTCTTCACATACGTTATTCCTGCATATGCTTTTGGCGAAACCACTGCCGGAATTGATTTTCAATTTCGACAGTGCAAGATAGTGTCCATTATCAACAGGAAATCGATGATTTCCGATAATTTCAGAGTATCATTTCTCGAACAAGGCTGAAGCGAACGATAAACAACATATTTGTCATCGCCCCATCTGCCTGTGAACGAGGTAACTAATCGCACATCCGAATCGCCCAATTCCTCGTATGAAGAAAAAACATAAAAAGGGAGCAACTGTAGCAGTTTATGATTTATTATAATTTTTGTGGAAGTTAATATAAAATCTGAATAATTGTGCTCTATTCATTTACCCATATACTCTGCTCATTTGGATATTAGAAATGCTCACAGGAATTTACAATTTTGGAATTGAATATGAAAAATGAAACTTTGTGAACGATGATGATATACATTGGAAATTTCAAAATAGGCTGTTTTTGATTTTCTCCAACTCCAAAACAGTGAAATGAGAGACAAAAGTTTTAGTTGAGATACGGAAATATATAAAAAATACCTTGAGTACGAATATCTCTCCTGTGGTTCTATTTATGTCGAATTTGCTGTTGGCAGGGTTGTCTGGATCAATTCCCTGTCCTGTCAGGAAGTATACGATATTCTGCGGTCTATCTTTGTCTCCGTCGGTGGCGGTAACCTAAATGAAAGTAACTAATATTATTCAATGGGTTTCACAGTAGAGGTTCAGAAATTTCAACACATTATTTTTCAACTGATTGCTGTCTAGAAAGTAGTGAGACGTACAAGGTTAGTTGCTTTTCAAAATTTACGGATTTTGTTTGTTGACTTTGCTACCTCCATTTCAAATGATATAAACATTGAACAGAAAAACTTTCTGTGCTACTTGGTGTATATTATTACTTGATACAAACCAATTTTCAAGACGTCGCATTTTCAATTTCAGTAGCCACTGCCTTGAAAAATTCAGGGAAAAATCATCATCTGACTATGATGACAATTCATCCAAAGAGTATCGTCAAAAAGTACTTTTAATGTGATACGTGGTCAAATTTATTATTATAATGGTTTTGAAAATCATGAAGAAGCTAGATGGTCGTATTGAATAACTAAAGCTAACAATGAAATCTAATGGAAGAAACGTCCAATTGAAATTTGGTTCATACTGAATCATAACAAATGTAAATGAACACGAGAAGTTCCCATGCTTAATTTTCATTATAATCAAAATGGACGGAGTAGAGCAATATACTAATTTAATTTCCTCAAATAGCCAATATGTACGATTCAACAAGCCTTGTAAGTCTTCCCATTTCCCAGATAGCAGTAGAAAATAGCTATAAACGATCTATAGGTACAGCTTGTCAAATTTAGAAAGAGCTTTCCGAATTTCGATATGATTCTGTCCACTAGATGCGAGTTAGAAGATGGTGAGAACGTGCAGATTTGACAAGCTGTATATAGTAACTTAATCATGCAAAATCTACCTACATGCAGTTGGGAAATAATGGCGCATTATTTGGAACATCCAAGCAAGCTCTTGAAATACAGTTTTGTGATAGATCATTTAAAAAAGCTCACTTTGGAATGTGTGAAATTTTGTGAGAAAATTTTGGTGTTGGGGAGCAGTGCAAGAATTCTGAATCCGATAAATATATTTTCTAAATTGGTTCTACACATATAAATAAACTTGCGGTTGTTTAAATATGCGAAAGAAAAAACAAATGAAACACAAATTGAGCTGCGACCTGAACTGAAACACGAAATCTAATTATCGACGCGTCGCTGGAAGGTCGGTTGGCTGGAAAACTGAATTTACATCAATTCGACAATTTGAACGGTAATAACAGGATGAATATTTTTTCAGGAAACTGAATTATATGCATAATAAATCTGAAAGGAGTAAAAAATGCAAAATTTGGGTCTCTCGGGATGTAGCATTTATTAAACTTTCACAGTTGCGCTTTGAGTCACATTTCTATTCAAAGCCACTTAGCATTTACTGAAAAAGCATAATTACGTATGAATGTTTGAAAACACGTTAATTGCCTGACTGTTAATGGTTGTAAAGTACGTAATATGCAAGTATTAGTGAACTACCTATATTTGAAAATTGTCATTCATTCATTGAAACCAACACAAAAAAAGATAAAAGTAGGTTTCGAAATTCATATTAACAACCATGAAATACCATCAATAATTTTGAAATGATGCACTTTTCACTATTAAGTTATGAATATTACTAAGAGCTTCAAAGAATTTGGTAAATAGTTTCAAATGCGACAAAATAGCAGTGAATATTTTTGAGTGAACGAATTATGATTACACTACTTCCCTAAAGGACAAGGACATTGTTGATCAAGATATATGATCTTGGGATTGCTGAATATTTTTTTTATGAAATGCAATTCCGAAGAGAGTCGAATTGTAGCTCTGTAGAACATTGAACGTTGCTGAAACGTATATAACTTCCTAGATCTAAATAACACTCCTGAGTTTCAAAAAAGCCGTCTTTCGGCAACATCACCATGTATTTGAATAGGTATTTCTTGGAAAGTAACACATATACTATTCATAAAAGTGGTATACTGAAGATTCAAATATTTTGATTGAAGGTTTTGAACAAAATGCGACGTCCATAGATGTCGAATATATTTACAGATTCTGGTATGTCTTCATTCCCAGCAGAAAGCTACAAACATTTGGAAACTTCAGTTCACTACAGTTCCCATATACCTGCATTACATATTTGACTTTTATGTTCTCTGGTTTTCACTATAAAATTCAATGTTGGGCCTTCTGGCAATACTTGTTTCTATAGTTGGAGATATTCAACTGAGGAGCAAGGGTAGAGTAACACACGACTTCAAATGACATTCAGATATAGTTGATGCTCAGGTGTACAGGGGAGTTGATCGTAAATTGCCATTCAAGTAGATTTTCAATAGGGTGTATCATAAACATATGATGAAACTACGTACCAGTAAAATAGTTTGGAAAACTGTCAATTTGAAGAAAAAAGAAGTGCTTTCTGATGAAGCACCTATCAGGCGTTGAGAGGTATCTATTTTGTATGAGCTATGCATGCAATTTGCTTTTGGAGAAGGTGTTTGGACAATTTATCAATTAAAAAAAAATCCCTATCCTAACTACACTTGCCTATATTCTATCATTTCTCAAATAGTTTACTGTCGATATATGAGAAAGTTTGCTTATCAATTGCATTCCATTTCATGTCATACTAAAGGTGAAAATTAAACAAAAATATGGTGAAAACTCCAAATATTCAAATTTATGCCAAAAGATCTGTTTTGGCGAATGCACCACACCCGCCAAGTTTTAAATTCATTCTTCAGTTTAAGCACAGCCAATCTCATTGACTAGCAGCGGTTTTAGGATTAGTTTCCAAATTAGTTAGAATATTTGTGAAAACTGTGATCAAACTGAGAAATATTCCAAAATCTACAATTGTCAATATGCTGTAAAGAGCGATGATTGTTCCGACAAATAATGTCTCAAAGTCATTTTTCATATACGTATTCCGTCAGACAAATAGCAGATAAAAAGTAGATATATGAATAATTATTTTTGCTGAATAGATATGAAGCGAGATTTGTCGATATGAGCCGACAAAATAATGAAATCGAAATAATGTTTTTACTGCTCCGAACGACCCAAATTGTTAATCTAAAATTACTGTTATTTTTGAAATTTACTAAAAAATAACTCCACGTTACCATTGCGGATTAATATCATGCAAGTCGTCAACAGTTTAATGAAAATTCTGTGAAAATATAATATTTGAAATTCAATTTTTGAACTAAGATCAGGCATTTCAAATAACACATCATCTAAACATAAGCCAATGCCGATTCGAAGTTGAAATTCATAATTACGATATTTATCATTTGTTAAAACCACTGTTTGTGTTTATGAAACCTCTGAAACCACATTTTTTTTATTAAACAACAACTCAACGATAAAACTGTCAAACACGATAGTCTCAAAATTTGAGACCAATTGATATTTTTTTTTCATAAAATTTGTGGGAATCATATGCATAACATTTTCCTGACTATCCCGTCAGGAAAGTTATAAAATATGATGTGAAATGAGCATATTCTTCTTTAAGGAGCCGAAATGCTAAACGTGAATTTCAAATACAACTATTGAAAGACACGTTAATGTCATTTTCTGTGATCATGACAGAAATTATATTCTGACATTTACAAACTGATTATATTTTCCTTCTGCGCGTGATCTGTCAGGGGTATTCAGAAATCGTGAGATTTCTATGAAGAATATAATATATGAGATTAGTTTGAAAGTTATAATCCTCACATTTTTTAAATATTCTCGAAGTTATTTATAAATATTACGTAGCTGTAACTCACTCTTCATTTCTACTCTACATTTCATTTACCTTTCGACAGAAGAGTCTATGAAAATCACTTAAACTGGCCATCGACCAATATTTTTAGAATCCAATATACGTCCATTAAAAAGACGTGATCAACAGAAAATCTGTCGTCGACGAAATAAAATTTTCTGCGGCAACTTTGTTCTTCTTGTAGCCCTTTTCATTAATGATAATTGTGTTTTTTTCTCGAAATGGAAAGTACTTGGTTTTCACCTCTTAGTCAGCAATATCAATCTTCCGTGAACCTGATATTTAATTTAGAAGGGTGACTCGGCAAATTCGAATATAAATGGTTTTATTTCGCAACTTCAGACATTGCAGGATTTTACGTCCACTTCAGGGGGATTCAAATCATTTCTGATTCCAATAACCGAACGAATAATATAGGTTGGCATTCCTGAGTCGTCACTAGTAGTCATTCAAATAGTGCTTGATTCTCTCCAATACTGCAAAATTGGGGAATATTGGGAAAAATGTATTTAGTAATTATCGGAATTTGAAATATCATCATCGTCTGCGCTTGTTCAGCCTGGATTTTCGCCAAATTACGAGAAACTCGTGAGACTTGTTATGATTTGAATTGTTCTTACCATTATATATTATGGGTATATTAGAAATTCTTCCTTAAACTGTCAAGGCCAAAGCTAGAAATAACGCCTGGGCAGAAAATTCCCGGGCCTAAGCAATATTACGCGTTTGTTTTAGTTGAAAATTGGCTTTATTCATCACCGTAATCTCTATCAAGAGCCACACAATCATTTCAGCGCCGCTCTTTGTAGGGATATTTATCTTTTGCCTCAAAATATGCCTTGGTTTCAGCAGTACCACTTTAATTTGACAGAAATTTCTCATCGGTGGGCATTTTTTTGAGGTATGCGAACAAACAGTAGTGGCTGGGAGCCAAATCTGGCGAATACGGTGGATGTGGGAGCAATTCGAAGTCCAATTCATGTAGTTTTGCTTTGTTTTTATTTACTGGTGACTAGATGCTTTGTTTTGATGGAACAAAACTTTTTTCTTTGCCATATGCGTTTTTTTTTGCAATTTCGGTTTTCGATAATGCTATTGGAGGCCGAAATTGTTGCTCTCTACTCAGATGATCGTTTTGATTCCGAAGTGAAGTGATGGATCCATTGTCACACATCGATGCAAAAAATCTGGTATGTTATGTGTGAACATGGCCAAACACTGCTCAGAATCATTAAGACGTTCTTGTTCTTGGTCAGCAGTGAGCTCGCTCACACTTTGAACAGAGCTTT